TGGAGTTTCCTCTGCTTTCTGTGATTATGTCTACATTTATCTTAGTGGCTCTGTTATTGTTAGGTGCTATCAGGTTGGTTCTGACTCCTAGCAACTCCATGCACCGCAGAACAAATCACTTGGCTGGTCCTAGGCCATCCTCACGATTGGTACCCTTGGCCCGTTGTTGCTTCTACCATGTCAATCCATCTTGCTGTGGGTTTTCCTCTTTTTTACTGACCCTATGACTTCTATCCAATTTTCCTAGATTCATACTTAATACCTACCATGTTCTTATTATTAATGGATATTTGTAGCTGTTTCTTCTCATTTTGGGTTGTGCCCCATCAGCCAATGAAGGTCCTGAAAGCTTTGCTCCATCCACATCAGTAAACTCTTAACTTTGAGGAGACAGTTCTTTTCTAGTTGTATTTTAAGTGCCTTCCATCCTGAGGGGCTCATGTCAGACCATGTTCTGCTGCTTTTCTCAAGGTTTTCAGTACTTAGCCATTCAGAAGTGGTCTGTCTCTCCTTCTGCCTAGTCTGTCTTAGTCTGGAAGCTCTGCTGAAACCTGCCCCCCCCCTCCCCCCCGTGACCCTGCTGGTGGTATTTGAAATAGCAGTAGCATCGCTGCCAGCCTCACAGTGACACACAAGTCACCACAGTACAACAGACTGACAGATGAGTGTTGGCCCTGGATTCCCCTTAGTTATGGCTTACTGCCTTCTCTCTTCCCTTAGTTATGGCTTACTGCCTTCTCTCTTCCCTTCACAGTCAAATTTCTTTTTTGTTGGGAGTCTTCAAATCCTCACTTTTCCCGAAACTGATCTGACACAGAGAGAGCACACTCATGCTTTCTGAAGGCTAAGTCCTGTGGGCATATTACATTCCACATTAACTCTCTGGGTCATTTGGCAGTGTTGTTGGTTCAGAACCCTCTTCCAGTTGTTCCACCTCTTTCAACGTTTTTTCCTTGTCTCTTCAGCTGGTTAACTTTCCTCTGCTTATTGTCCTTATTCTCAGAAGTTCTCCCAGACCCTTTCTGACCCAGACTATCTGTCTGCTCCGTGTCCTGCTGCACTCTGGATTTAAATACTTTCCGGTAGACTGAAGATTCCCAAACGTTTATCTTCAGCCCACACCCTCCCCTCTGTGCTTTATAGCCACCAGGATTTTCTGTGGGTATAATATTTTACCACACCTTCCTCCTTTACGCGGATACCTACTTTCTCTTCCTGGCCTTATCTCAAGTAATGAACCCATGATTTCTCCTATTGTCAAAGTCAGAGATCCTGGAATTCATCCTGTTCCGGATGTCAAAGATCTGCCTAGTTTTTTTGCTCGTATCCTCATTTCTTGCCAATACTACCAAAGTATCTTTAGGATCCATTCTCCTTGCTGCTTACTACCCTAACTGCCTACTCTAAAACTCAAATAAGATCATGAAACTTGCCTGCCCCTCCCCCCAATAAAATCCAGATTCCTTACCATAGAAGCCCATGTCCTTCAGGTTCTTCCATAACACGAAACTCATCTAGCCCGCTGATCCCTGATCCAGTTAAGTATTTTGTAGTTTCTTTGATGCCAGGGCACATGTGAAAATTCCTTCTACTACTGGTTTTCTGGTAAACCCCTACTCAATCCCATATGAAGATAGAGGGTGTGGAACCTCATTTGAGAAGTCTTTTTTTAACTTTACTTCATCTCCATAGAACTGATCTGTAACCCCCCACATACTGTGCAAATTTCTGTTAACACACATTCCAGAGTTTCCATTTGGATCTTGCATTTCTAGTTTTCTTCCTGTAATGTGGACGCCTTAAAGGTGGACACACTCACCTAGTCCTGGGAAGAGAGGGTACTGCCTTCAGTAAAGGTTGCATGCTTTATGCATGCATAAGAGCAGAGAGTTTAATAGAAAACCATGAACAATCATAGTCAGGCATACTATATATAGTTCAAAAAATCAAATAGTAATTATGGGGAAATTGCTAGGTTCATAAGAATTATAGTTAAAAGCTTCGTTCTAGTGATTGACTGTTGACTGTTGACTTCATGGCGTACAGCCTGCAGAGTGTCCAGAGAAGGGTTATGATTTGTCAGAGATAAGTACAGACCTTCATAGTAGAGCAAGGCTTGGGGCCCAAGCCTGATCCCAAGCCCCTTGATCTTTAGATCAGGACATTGTCTGTCTCATACTTCTTTCAGTATATGATTTGAAGAATTGCTTAATTCTTCTTCCAGAGGGTTACTAAGCCTCTGGAAGAAGAATTAAGTAGCTTACTCCCAAATATCTCATTTTAAAAGTTGCTCTTTATTATTCCATGTGAACTATTCATAGCAAATAAAGCAGATGAGATCCTTGTCTTCTGGGAACTAGAGTCATCAGACAAGTTAGAGTGAATCAGGGAGAAATGTTTTGTACATGCTGAAAATGGAATGCATATGTGGTTAGTTAAGACTCAAGTATTGTATAAGATTTATTCATTCAGCAGTTCTTGTTAAACCACTTGTCTACAGGGCATTGTAAGAACTGTCACAGTCCCTGTTCTCATGGGTCACAGGGAGACAGGTATTCATCAGAGATTTCTACAGATGTGAGTGAATTCTATCACAGATGATGTGTGGGAAAGCTTTAAAAAAATAAAAACCTTAATGAAGCTAGGAGGCTTAAGGTGTATGACCCAGTTACGTTTCCTTTGGTCCTCATTCTTTCCCTTTATAACATGTCATGAGTTCCCTCAGCTCTCCATGTCTGTGAGCTAAGAAAGTGCCTTTGTTAAAACAGTGAGTCAGAAAGTACTGTTCTTGGGTGTGTGCTGATTATCAGATTCTGATTCTAAGTGTCTCATTTAGTATCTCTGAAACAGTTAGGCTCAAAATGTCCGTATTGACTGCCATAGTGCATAGATAGAGAAAAACACACTGTTAGTACAGCCGTACTTGGCATTGTAGTGAGCCTTCTTTTAATCTTTAGCTTATTGTAAGATTTGAGAGGCTGCAGAGGGTATGGTTGTAGATGGTCTGGTGTATATGGGCATGGTTGCTGTCTCCTGGCAGGTGGAAAAGAGTAGAAAACACACACAATAAAGCAAAACAGAATATACAAACAGGCAACTAGCAATGAAAAGAGAAAATACCAAAGGAGAATAAATAAAAACAGGCAGCAATCAAAAAAAAAAAAAAAAAGAAAAAAATAGAAAAGAGGGATAATAAAATGGAGATATAGAAGAGATAAAAGGAAGGGAAATAAAAAACACTTAAAGAGACCAGGGCTAGGGAAGATGAAAAGAGAAAGAGTAATGAGCAGTAAAGGAAGACCAAAAGGTAAAAAAGAAGGTAAATGAGAAACAAAAGAAGGAAAAGCAAAAGTGGAGATAGGATAAAATTCAAGGAGAAGAAGTAAAACAATGAAAGGAAAAAACACAACACCCCCTTGCTCCCACAAAAACAAACTAACAAGCAAACTAGTGTAGCTGTTGGAACTGGAGAGGAGCTTATGAGAGGATGTGGGAGGGCTGGGACAGCTGAGTTGTTGGCCTTAGATGTGTTTCCTATAGGTCCTAGGGTTACCGATATTCAGTGCACTCAATCCAGAAGTAGTTCCAGGTGGCCCTTGATGGAGGCAGGGTGTCTGGTTATGAGGGTGTTTGTTAGACTAATGCTGGTCTGGTGGTTCTATGGGTTGTTTAGGTATGAAGCTGAACCTGTCTGAATCCAGACAGCAAAGAGGCACAGCCAACCCCCACCTCACACTGGTGGGGCTCACAACCACTTGGCTCTGAATTCCCAGAGAGCAGGGTCTGCGCTGGGAGGTGGATGATGGTGGAAGTTGACCCAGCCCTTTGGTCACCAGGTGAGCATGGGGGGAAAAAGAAGGAATCACACCCTTTTCATTGCCTATATGAATCTCCTCTGCCAGGCAACCAACCTACTGTCGCCTAATCTCACAAATGTTCAAGATGGTCGTGCCGATTTATGGCCAACTGTTTACCAGTGAGTCTTCCTCTCACTATCTCTGCTCAGCTTCTCCTCCCAGCAAGCACTAAGTCCGTTTCTCTAGCCATTCCTCTGAAGTTCAGGGTTCCAGGATTTTCATATGTGTCTGTTGTTACATTTGGTCTCGCATAGAGCTCTGGTGGCGTAGTGGTTACAAATAGAGCTGCTAATATCACGGTCAGCAGTTTGAAAATACCAACTTTTCCGTGGAAGAAAGATGAGGCTTTCTGCTCCTGTAAAGATTTACAACCTCGGAAACCCTGTACAGAGTTGCTATGAGTTGAAACTGACTCCATGGCACATAACAACAAAAATCTTTGTTGTAGAGGGTCTGCCACCTTGCTGGAAGACATAAAATGTTTTTGTTTCATAAAGATTTCTGTTTTGTAGCAACACTGTGACTTATCCTGGTATAGCTTCTTAGATTGGGGTACAAATTACAAGAGTAGTTTACCTGGTGGATAGGAGGAAAAATCAAGGGGCAGCATGGTATAGGGAAAAGAGCATTGGGTTCAGAGTCTGAAGATGTGGGGTTGTAGACTCTTAGCTCTGTATATAAACTATACCCATGTGACCTTGACTTAGCTTAGGTGGTCTCATTTTCCCATGGTTGGTGCATAACATTATATGTGTATGATGAAAACACTGAACTTTATCTGAGTTCAAGGAGCAAGGCCCTATTCCTGAAAAATGTAGCTGTCAGGCCAATTGTATTTGCTAAGGTAAGAAACTGTTTGAAGTTAGATCTGAGATTTAACCCTAAATCAGGGATCAGCAGCCTTGTGCCAGTTTGGCAATCTGCAGCATTCTTGCAGAGCAGGTGCCTATACATACCTCTTCTGTGCAACAACAGGCCAGTAGTGGTAGAGGAGGTGGCAGGCAACCTATGGCCCCTGAAAACATACCCTCCCATCAGCTCTGGTGAGGATGGAGTAACCCTACACACCTATACCCTGGAAATGAAGCAGTAGTAGAGAGAGGTATGTCAGAAGGCTGACATTTTTCTTTCTCCCATAACCAGATTTTATAATGTGGGCAACTTGCTGCAACTGGTTCTGCCTGGATGGACAGCCTGAAGAAGCCCCACCACCCCAGGGAGCCAGGACGCAAGCCTATTCCAATCCTGGATACAGCTCCTTCCCTTCCCCAACAGGCTCTGAGCCCAGCTGCAAGGGCTGTGGGGCCCACTTTGCCAGCACAGCCAGGAAGGTGAGTGTTAGAGTTTCTATCTGCTCTGCTGCTATAAGCTCAGGGCCTCAGGCCTGCTGTCTTACCTTTGCTGGTACCCCAGACTCTCATCACCTCATAGAACTGTCCATGAAAGACTAACCTAAGCAAAAGCAAAGCATCTGAACATAGCTCTGGAGCCACATGGGCCTGAGTTCAGATAGCAGCTTTGTGGACTTAAACTGTCTGTGATTCTTTCCCCCATCTATAAAATGGGGATGATAATGATACCTGTCCTACAGTGTTGTTGTGAGAATCGAATAAACTGTGAAGTAAGCTATGAAGGGTGCCCAGTGTGATACCTGGAACATAGCCAGCACTCAGTATTAGTGCCTTTCCTTAGCCACAATCATAAACGCTTTAACTGCAACACATTCTTTTTATCTAAAGCAGTGTCAAGGACAGGACACCTCAGGTACACCAAGACCCTAACAAGACAGATTAGAGCTTATTTACTGTAGCTGATTTTGTTTGAATTGCTGGGTAACCATGCTTCCCAGATTGGCTAGAAGGAAAAAACAGTCTTGGCTGAGTAATGAGGTGTGGGTGTGGGCCATCCCTTTGTCAATGCCGGGGAGACAGCATGTTCTCTGTGGTCAAGCAAGACTGGGGCAGAGGGTGAACTCTGACCTGGATAAGGAACTGCATTCTGAAACCGCTCTTCTGCAAGATGAGATTTGCAGTCTAGAATGGGTGGGTGAATATGATGTTAAAATGGTGATAATGGGAAGTTGAGAGGAAATATATATATATTTTTAAGTATATGTTTCCTTTAATCCGCATAGTAACTATGTGCTGTAGCTTTTAACCCTAACTCACATTTTACATATGGGAACCTAAGGCTCAGAGTTTAAAATGAAAAAAAAAAACTATATATTTCAAGTTCCTGAGGATTAGCTAAAGAGGCATTAAAACATCCATTCTTTTCTCTGTGCTTTGTAGCGCCCCCGGGCCCACATAGTCATTAAGTGGCAGAACTGGGATTCAAACCTAGGTCTTTGTACCACCTCCTCCAGATGCTAGAATGCAGTGTTGACCATGCACCCTTCTGTACCTTTAGGCTGATACAGGATTGGCATTTTGCCTTGTGCTGTAGTGCAGTGAAAGGTGTCAGATAGCTGAGCTTTGTTGTGATTTGCTTGGCTACCCCGAGTCACTGTGAGAATTCAGCCAGAGAGACTGCTTCAAGTGAACAGAGAGCTGTGACGGGGGGTTGAGGCAGTAGATTGAGACTGAATCGGAGAGAAGCAACTCATTGCCACATGAATGTTCCTCAGTAATGAAAGGGAAGTGATGTTACTGGGCACTTGTGTATTGACACTGTGCTTGGCACTCATTTTGCATTATCTCATTGAATCTTCATAACAAGCTCTGAAGAATGTATTGTTATGTATCCCCATTTTATAGATGAAGAAATGGCTCATTTTTATCTAAGGCAGTAGTTTCAAATATTCTTCATGTGCAGCAGGAGTGGATAGCCAGATCCCTTGCTGTTTCTATGGTTTGACACTGAAAAAGCTGGGAACTACTGCTGGTAGAAGTGGAAAGGTAATTGACAAGAAAGGAATAGGAATGGTCCTTGTGTAAATGAGACAACATGAGTTTGCAGAATTGTTTTTATCTTTTTTTTTTTTTTTAAACATCAGTTATACTCTGTGAGTGGAAATGGGGAATCTGAAAAGAGGGCAGTGGTGGTGATCTAGGCTTGGGGATTAACATGGTAAGCATGATGAGGGAGCCAGAGGATCTAGAGTTCTTGACATTTCTCAGGTAGAAGAGAGAATGTGGGCAAATGAGGAAATTACCCCAAAGAAAAGAGAATGATGGTTAGGTGAGAATGGAAAGACATTATTTTTCTTTATAGTGGTTACCACAGCCTGACAAACATTCTTATTTATTGTCTCTTCTTAGTTTGGGCACATTAGAAACAAGGAATTCTTTGTCAGTTTTGTTCATAACTGTATCCTCAGTGCTCAGAACAGTGACTGACATGTAATAGATAGGCAATACACTGTAAAACAATGAATGAATGAATGGACAGATGAAATTGAGAACACTCTGAAAAAGAGGAAGTAGGTCAAAGTTTCTGTTTGTATTACTCCCTGGTTGGCAATTCAATGCTGCATATTAACACTGAGGGCCCAATTCTGTACCAGCAGCCTGCTAGTTGCTAGCTTAACAACAACAACAATAGCTGGCTACATAAGTTAGGTGCCAGGGAATCAAACAATGTTGATTAAATTGAGACATAAGATGAGCATTTTAGCTGGATGAACATTTTTTTAAAACAACTTTTTATTGTGAACCAAGTGAAAGTTTGTCGATAAGATCATCAATTTTATAGTCAACAGATTACACCCTGTTTCCTCTCAGTGATCGCAGTCCCCTCCATTCAGCAACAGTTATCCCGCTTCCTCCCTGTGCTTCCTGTTGGCCAGGAACGATTTATTGATTTGCAAAGCATTGGCAGAATGCTTTGCAACTAGTTTGGGACAAGTGCAGGATGTATCTGAGAACTGTGAATGGCCTGGTTGGCCAGAGTACAGGCTTAGGGTCTGGTAGTGAAGGGAAGGGCCTGACGGCCATTTGTAGCCAGCAAACAAGGAGTCATCCGAAAGAGTTTGAATGAAGGCACAACAGGATCAGTCCTAATTCAAGCAGCTAACTTGACCTCCTTAGGAGACTCGTTTAATGGAGTGCCTAGGAGTACCAGTTAGGAAGCTTTTGTATGCTGGGCTGGTGGGGAAGGGGCTGATAGATATTCATTCAGTGAGCAACTCTTTGTGCCAGGCCCTGTGAAGCAGTAGGTGTTACCCCATTTGATAAGGGAAAAGTCAGACCCAGCAACACTACATTATGTAACTTCCAAGTTACAAGGCCACACAGCCATTAGGTAGCAGGGCAGAATTTGATCCAGTACCATCTGGCTTCCAGAGTCCTGGTGTGGTGCTGTAGGATCAGCACTGGACTGCTAACTACAAGATCAGCAGTTCAAACCCACCAGCTGTTCCTTGGAAACCCTAGACAGACAGAGTCACTATGAGTCAGAATTGACTCCAAGACAACACTTAGCAGCAGCACCACCACCATCGTTTGGTTCCACAGCTTGCTCTTTATCCAGGATACCCCTTTTCAGAGGAAAAGGGTGAGTCGGAGGTGACAGGCTGTAGGCCTGTGTGCCCAGGAAGAGCCTGGTGATGACTGATGTGAGGAGCTGTTTTATTCACTGGGAAATAAATGGTTGGATCTCTAGTGTGTGTTAGGCATTTGCTAGGTTAGAGTACCAGAGATGAAAGTGGAGCACACAGGCAGATAGGAAGAAGGGCAGATACAGAACCTAGAAGTTGCTGCAGCTAAAGAGCTGTTGTGGGAGGAAGAGAAGTCCCAATGTGGGTGGAAAAAGATGGGTGTTTGTATGATGTTTGCTTGCCACAGAAGTATGAGTTTTGTGAATATTAAAGATGTTTTTTCCTGTGTGAGAGTTTTTCATTTGTAATTTCATGCTTAAGTGGAACAATGTTCTTATCTTAAGGGTTTGGCATTTAACAGCCAGAGGCATTTAAAATGTCTTTTCTGGAAGTTGTTGAATTGAAATGATTACATCCTACTGTCTTTTTAATTCCCCCCCCCCCCCTTTTTTTTTTTTAAATTTTTTATTATGGGCAGTATTTTCCAAAAACTCACTAGGTACAAAGCACAGATAGCATTAAGGGACTTACAGAGGCATATCAGTAAGATGTGTCTCCTGCCTCTCCTAGAGTTCCAAGTCTTAGAAGTGGCAGGCAGTGATGTTGCCACAGCCAAGTAGCCCATCTCTATTAATAATGTCTGCATGTGGTTGAGCGGCAGCCCTGACAATGCTGGAGGGTTTGGAGCCCAGTTTAAGGAGGAGGAGGTTGTGTTTAGAAACACCAAGTGGTAGATACTCAAATTTTGGAGTGGAAAGGAGGTGAGGGGTGGTCCTAGGTACCTGTAAAAGCTCAGAGATGAAGCAAAGGGTAGAAGGAATAAAAGATGTTGGGGTTAATCTTATGCTAAGATTTTGTATACGCTGTCTCTTGTGATACTTCCATTAATCCTTTGAGGAGGACTAACCTTTCCTACTTTCCAGGTGAGGAATGGGATGCTTTGGGAGGTGCCCCAGTTAGATCCCTTAGCCAGCAAGTGGTCAGCTGGGACTCTGTTATAATCATGTCATTTCTCTGGCTATCCCCCCCTCCAGTGGGCTGGAGAGTGGGATTCCTTTATGAAGTGGGGGCTGGTGTGATGAGAAGTCGAATCTGAGCAGTATCAAGGGCTACAAGTGGGGCAGTGGGGAGGGAAAGGGTCACATGGGAAGGACAGACTGGCAAAGAGGAGTAAGCAAAGAAACCTCATAGGATCTCTGGAAGGTGGTACTTGCTGAGGTGCCTGGCCAACTTGTGGTTGTTGCATGCTTGTGTGTACTCTTGGCATTTCTGCAGGCATGCTGCCTCCATTAATTCATCTTTCTTGCCATCTTGTTACTCAGTTGGTGTGAACCATTTGCTAGAATTTATCCCTCGTGTTTCCTTTGCTCATTCAGCCCACATTTGTTGGCATCCCTGTTTTCCTTTTCCTTTGTTCTCTCTTGCCTCTGCAAACTGGGATTCTAGCCTCCAGCATTATCATTGCCCTCCTCCTTGAGGGCATGCTTCAGGTGCCCGCTTACTTCAGAGACACTGGTGAGCAGGGGTACAGGGGAGTTTGTGCTATCTTTACATTCTGATCTTGCATTCAGTGAGTCACACATAGTTGAAGAAAAGAACCTAAGAGCTGTTCGGATCTGGCCGATTGAGCAATTCAGGGCTTCATAATTGTGTCAAGCTAGGTCTTGTCAAACTCCATTAGCTTGAGTAATGGTCCATGTCACAACCTACAGCTTTGATGATACTGAAGCGTCTTCATTCCACCTCCAGTCATGCTAAACACACGTTTATTTCCCAATTGGGAAACATTAGGTATGACTGTAACCCAAACACCCCAAAACATCCATTTTCTATCTGAGTGGCTGCTGGCCCCCACAGCCTTACCATGCTAGCTCAGCTGTATGTCTTTTTTAGCCAGGCCCCAAAGTCCTATTACCTGGTTATAATGGAGAGAGTAAGGGAGCTTGGTATGTGTCCCTTTGCAATGCCTTCTAGGACTTCATTGTCAGAGCTGGTGGTCAAAATTCTCCCCTTCCTTTCCCTTGATCGCATAAATGACACTTAGACTTTCGTCAACTCTCAAGTGTGCACATGTTGCTTTGAGCATCTGCGGTTTTGTCTCCTGGGCATTCTTGGTTGTTTGAACAGCTTTTTGGATTTCTATATTTGGCTTAATACTTACCAGCACAGGTCAAAAAGTTTTTCATTTCTTTGGAGGATTAGTGAGTATGCCTCCAGGAAGATCCCAGGACATCCAGGAACAGCCCCTGCAGTGAGGGAATGACCTGCTGGAACAGAGCTCAGCTAAGTGTTCGCTCAGCCTGTGGACAAGAGGCCAGGAAATGTGCTTCCTGTGAGCGGAACAAGCCTGGGTGTAGTGCCTGTGATTGTGTGCCTAGCTGCTGCCAGGCAGAGCCAGCTTACATGTCAGATGCGTTACTCAGCCACCCTGAGACACACTGTACTTTCACGAGAGAGAGAACTCTGCTGTCCACAGGGCCCCGACTAGCTGTCTAAATATTTGTATTGGATATGGTCTTATGCACCATTGAATTCCCAGCACTGTAAGTGTGCCTCCCATCGTGGGGCAGCTTTGGCACCAGCTGATGGAGCTCTGGATCAGGAATTTGGAGATGGAACACCAGATTATAACTCAGCATTGCTGGAGGCTTGAATGGGACAGAGTCAAGCAGCGTGGCTACTGGAAAAGGCACAATCGTGGGTATTTGGTTCAAACGGACCTTGAGTTTGAATCTATTACAGCTTGACCTTGAAAATGATACTTCAGTGTCTAAGCCTAGGTTGCTTTGCGAAATAGGGAGTAACACTAATAGCTACTTTACTGTAGGGTTGCCATGAGAATCAAATGACAAGCTAGATGTGTAGCCCTGAAAGCAGTTGCCTTCAAGTTGATGTAGACTCTGATGAAGTGTTTCAGAGTAGAACTGCGCTTCAGAGGGTTTTCAGTGGCTGTGACTTTTTGGAATAGGATCATAAGGCCTCTCTGACAGATTCAAATCTTGTTAGTAGCCAGGTGCTTAACTGTTTACACCACCCAGGCACTCTTGATGTAGTTCTTGTACTTAGTAACTGTTTAAAAAAGAAAAGTTGATGTCAACTCATGGCAGCCTTGTGTGTCAGAATAAAATTGCTCTGTTAGGTCTCAATGGCTGATTTTATGGAAGTACATCACTAACTCTTTCTTCTGAGTTAAAATTAATTAATAACAATGCTAATAGTAACGAAAGCCACTACCATAAATCAGAATGAATTGTTTAGGGTCAGAAAGCACAATTTGAATCCCAGCTCTCATCTTTACTTAGTATTTTTAGCAAAAACAAAATAGTATTTAGTAAGGACATATTGGGTGTCAGAGAGGCTAAATGCGTGATCTCTTGTGAGATAGATGCAATTATCATCCCCATTTACAAGATGAGCAAACTGAGGGTCGGAGAGTTTAAGCTACATGCTCAAGATGATACTTAAAGAAAGGTGACTTTTTAATTCAAAAGCCAGTAAACATAATTAATATTGTTAGTTTCTTCATCACTAAAACGGGAACCATAAAGCCTCAAATGAAATAAGTGTAAAGTATCCTGAATGTGGATGCAGGTGGGCTTTTAATCTAAAATCTACAAGGTTGCTTGAAGCCTTCATTGTGGGGGCTAGCTTTAGTGAAAGAGTGTATGGGGAGGTCTTGCTAAGCTTGGAAGCCCTAAAACTCCCATCCTACACCGTGTTTCGTTCTCTCAATCTGACGTCCTATTTTCTGTCTCTTGCTCTAAGCAGCAGACCTGCTTGGACTGTAAGAAAAATTTCTGTATGGCCTGTTCAAGCCAAGTAGGAAATGGCCTCCGTCTCTGCCTTCTCTGTGAACGGTTCCGAGCCACAGCCTTCCAGCGGGAAGAACTGATGAAGATGAAGGTGAAGGACCTGCGGGACTATCTCAGCCTCCATGACATCTCTACCGAAATGTGCCGGGAGAAGGAGGAGCTGGTGTTCTTGGTGCTTGGCCAGCAGCCTGTAATCTCCCAGGAGGGCAGGACTCGTGCCCCCACCTTGTCCCCGGACATCCCTGAGCAGCAGGCCTTCCTGACCCAGCCTCACAGCAGCACAGCACCTCCTACCTCACCCACCGTCCCTTCTTCACCTGCACAAGCCACCTCTGCTCCCGCAGCCCAGGCTCAGGAAAGCCAGCAGGTAGGGACCATTTACAGTCTTTGCCAATCTGAGCCCATCCCAGGGCTCTTTCCTCTCCTACTGGCACTGTGAGAGTGGGAAGCAAGGGTAAGTGTCTCAGTAGGTGGAGCCTTGCCACCTACTGATGCAAAAACTGAGGGTTTCTGGACATTATGTTCATAATTGGGTTTTCTTCTGGGGTGATTAGGCACAGAGTACTGGATTTTTTTGGTCATTTGCTTGTTTTTAATACATATATATCCCAATAAGACATTAAAAAAGGAAATCATTGTTCTAGAAATATTTTGAGAAAACTCACCCTTAACTCTGCAAAATTAGTTCTGTTCAAATTTGCCCTCCTACTTACTCCACACAACCTTTGTTGTGGTCTTACTTAACTGGATGAGGAATTCAGTTCCTTCGTAACCATCACAGGCACATAGGGGGTGGGGGAAAGGAACTTGAGGGGCTTCAAAACTTTATGGGAAAATGGAATGAAAAGATAATGGAATATTCCATGAATTTATTGCTGCCCCCTCTTACATGGAGGGGAGAGAGGGAGTTGAGAGACTGTAACTAAGAATGGCAAGCTGCTTCTCCCTGCTCACCATTTGGGAGGGAGCGTGGCAATGTGCTGTTACCTTATAAACCGCTGTACCATTATCCAAGTGGGGCCCGAAAGTGGTAATCTAACAGTACATGGACTAAATTGTGAACCAGGCATGGGAAATATACAGAGCTAAGTAACACATTGTCCTTGTCCCCAAAAAGCCCACCTCTGAGAGAGAAGATGGACATATAAACCAGATTGGAGTGAGGCCGGTATACTTACTACCCCTAGGGTTGTAAAGAGTAGAGGAGTCTCATAAATGATCTTCAGTGCCTAACAGACAACCCTATTAATTACATGACTTGGTCAATAGGGATCAAGAAGACCTGGTTTCCATATCCAGTTTTGTCACTGACTCCTTAGTCATCCTGGACAAACTTTAAGCTTCCACGGTGAAGTGGGGTTAGTAATACCAGTTCACTTTTGAACTTGTTAGGACATTGACAAGGCTGAATAGTGTGACATCATGTACAGTAAAACCTCCATAAGGCAGATACCTGTCAGCAAAGGAAAACTCTAATCTTTTCCATTCATAGAGAGTGATAGAAAAGTGGTAAGACTGTATACCCTGTCAAAGGCGGAGAACTTGTGAGACCCAGAATACAATGCAGGCCCATTGAATTGTGACTCTCACAGGTTTCACTCTACAAGAGTTTGGTCTTCCTTAGAGCTAGGCAGTTCCCACACATGATATGGCTGGCTGCTGCCTCTTGTTAGTAATCCTTTCCTTGGCCGGGACCGGGTCCCTGATGCAGCCCTTGACTGGCACTGAGACATAAAGGCCAGTGTGATGATAGCATAATTTAACTGCTGTAAAATCACCCAACTCCTTTGTGGGCTTGAACATGTTTTCCCCTCACCTGGAGTTTTAACTCTTTACTACACTCTGGCGCTCTGTCTACTGGACAGGTTTTACCTCCCCTGTGCCTTCTGTCATTTCCTTGTACCTTTGGAGCATGCCTCTTTGTTTATGTGGAGCCAGGTGAGGAACTTGAGGAGGAAATTATTTTGTCCTGAAGAACCATCAAATGGGATTTTCAATGAAGTAGGTCATTATCCTAAAAGTTGCAGAGCACACCTCCAGGTCTTAGCTAGCTTCCAGATTTTATTAAGAGTCCTTTTCCTTTAAGGTTTTTACAGGCCCTTAGTGCCAGTCATGTGCCCAGTTCTGGTGAGGTCTGCATTTGCAAGCAGGAAAAACAGTCATGCGGATGCAAGTAACTTGTGTGAGACCTCTTGACAAGTTCACATGCAATGTTGCCCCACTAGGGCCGTCTCCTTTACCTTGAATGCTTGAGCACAGTAGTTGCTGAGGAAGAAAGCCTGGGGGAATAAGCAGTATCGTGGACAGATGCTACTTATAGATAGTGCTTTTTCCAGTGGGAAAACAGGAAAAACAAGGGTATACTTTGCAGCAGGGAATCCAGTTTCTGCTTCTAGCAGAAAAATCAGACTTAAGACAAGCTGTGTACTTAGGAACAGGTTAGGTGTTGAAAGGCTTTTCAGAACTCTAAGGTGACACTATCCCAAAGGCTTGGGGGCCCACATCTAAGTAAAATAAAGAGAAAATCAGAGGTGTTCCTGAAGGCTTGTTTGGGATGCATTGCAAATGTGTATTTTTTATCACTTTTTAAACTATTTCTGCATTTCCCTTCCTTTGTAATTGTTGGCCTCTTTTTGTTAGGTCCATATTATGCATCCTGATTGAGGTTGAATGGGGGTAGGGGCCATTGGGTGACTTTGATTTCTCCAGGTGTTCCTTTCTCTGAGCTTACAGCAGCCTGTCCTTTGCTGGGAGGTAGCAGGGGGTGAAGAACTGGGTAAAATGGTTTGTGAATGGTGATGGGATCAGGGTGTTCACAGTTCTGACTACTCTTTGGTAAACCTCTTAAAGGAATCCCCAGGAAGAGCTTTTTGAGAAGCTAGAATTCTAAACAGAGTATACCAGATGCCTTGTCTTACAAGTCAGGTGAATAGATTCTTAGATGTATTACAGTAACTCAGTGGCTAGATTTCTAGATAACTTTGTCATAGTGTGCCCTATTAGTTTGGGGCACCTTTTTAGAATGAGGGCGGTGACTAAGCAGAAGAAAAGGGACTAGAGTGGTAAGGATCTGGGAACTCGGTCTCATGAGGTTCAGTTGAGGAAGAAGATACATGAGTCTAGAGAGACAGTGAATATTGGTTTGAGTGGCAGAAGCAGAGTCTTTGGGTGGAAGTAATAGGGCTATGGGAGATAGAGAGCAGCCCTGCAGTGGAGTAGGTCTTCTTTCACCTGGAGCATTCAAACTTGAGACTAAATTGACAGTGGGTGGTGGCAGATGCCAACTGGATGGTAGGCAGAGTCAGTGCCCTTTTATCTAGTGAAGTCTATTGTTACTGTTTGTGTCTCACAAAGTAGTGTTAGGAAGCTTGCTTTTGTAGCGCTAATTTGGAGGAGATGGGAATACATTTGAGATCTCAGTGAACTAGAAAGAGGCCCATGTTATGGAAATCCCCTCATCTCTGTGGATGTGATGGCACCTTTCTTTTCCCACAGGCCAATGGCCATGTGTCTCAGGACCAAGAGGAACCCGTCTACTTGGAGAGCACAGCCAGAGTACCAGCTGAGGAGGAGACCCAGGTGGGGCCTCTGCTCGGGTCTGTGCCTACGCCTCTGCCTATTCACTTGTGTTCTTAGTGTGTTGGAAGGAGCCTCTTAGCAGACTCTGAGTAGAGAGAGAAGAATCAGTCTGAATTTCTTATTCAGGGTGGAGGTTAGGGTTAGCATTCCAGATAAGCTGACGCAGTTAGTGTGGTAGTGAGGAACTATGAGGCCACGGCCCATGGTTTTCACTTTCTGGACTTTTTAAGAGCTCCCAGAGGGCCATCTCATGGTGCTGCTGTGCAAATCTCATTCTTTCTTCCAGTTTTTAGCGCAGTAGCCATTGCCAGGGGGAAGCAGGTCAAATGATCAGGAGGAAAGAGGTACGGGAACTAGTTTTCAACCAAGGCAGGGGCACATCATCCATCCGTGCCACGGAACTGTGGTAGTGGTTGTATACAGCGGAATGCTGGCCAGGGACAGCTGCCTCTTCTGTCGGGGACAGAGGAAGGCCAGCCCCATACTAGGGGCTTTTCTGTGCTACCACGTTTAATCTTCACAGGAACCCTGTGTGGTAGATATTGCGAATCTCCCTTACAGAGGAGGTAACTTAGTTCAGAGAGGTAAGCAACTCATTCTAACCTGCTAGTTAGAATTAATTAGCAGGAATCAGGATTCAAAATTAGGGCCATCCTCCTCAAACCAGTGAGTGCTCTCTGGTATCTCCTGGTGCACTGATTTGTGGCTGTCAGCTCCTGAGCAGTGTTGCAGGTCTAGAAAAGACTGTGGTTGACTGAGCAGTGCAAAGAACCACGCTGGCTCCTCTTCCTGTTTGTTCCTACCCCTCTTGAGGTCTGTCAGCAAAAGAACTGTGACGAGTGCTCTGGGGCCCAGGAGGGAGAGCATGGGTAGGGAATAGCTGAGCTTCCTCCTCTTCTCTCTGCTTTTGCAGTCCATCGACTCCGAGGAGGGCTTCGTCCCAGGCCGGAGGGCCTCTCTGTCTGACCTGACCAACCTAGAGGACATTGAAGCCCTGACTGTGCGGCAGCTGAAAGAGATCCTGGCTCGTAACTTTGTCAACTACAAGGGCTGCTGTGAGAAGTGGGAGCTGATGGAGAGGGTGGTGTGGCTGTACAAGGACCAGAAAGGACTCCAGCACCTGGGTAAGGGACTAGCCGGCTGGCTGCTGCATTGCCAGCAGGTGTGCTGGGAACAGCCAGCCCGCGAAATCATTTGGTCTGGCCCTGCCAAGGTGACCGCAGTTCCAGCCATCATGTTGTTGTTGGTACTAAGTGTCATTTAGTCGGTTCTGACTAATAACAACCCTGTGTAGGGGTTCCAAGGAGTGGCTGATGAGCTTGAACCACCGACTTTGCTGTTCAAGTTGACCTTGCAGTCTAGCGCATTAACCCGCAGCACCACATCAGGACTCCTGAAAAGCAATAGGAAAGGGACATTGTGTGTATATATAGTCTGCTTCCTCTTTGGCAGTTTTGTACATGTAAACCTTTTTCCAAGACTACACCTGAGGTACCAGCAGCAAAAGCTGAGAGAGAGTTCTTAACCTATACAGTGAGTAAGGAGGGTGAATGTCTGGGTTTGTGGCATACCTGGTTCCCAGCAGAAAGTCGTTAGAAATGCCCTCAGTTGGTGGGAGACTCTGGACATGCCACCATGTCATAGTGTATTCAGACATCTCCTTTTTCTTTCCTTTTCAGTGTGTGGTGCTGAAGATCAAAACGGTATGTAGTGTGAGGGCTTGGACTGTCCCTTCCACCTCTTTCAGCCCGAATCCCTGTCAACAGCAAAGCCTTCTGAGTATACGGATTCCACAGAGAGGGTGTGTGGGAAATCTGTTAGAGATAGGGCTTCTCAGCACCTCTAGAAAGCCTTGCTCTCCCCAGCCATGAGGGAAGAGGAACAGTGAGTTTCCTAGGCCTAACCTGCGTGCAAGTAAGTGCTGCCAGCTCAGAAGCTAGTGCTTATAGCATCTTTCACAGCAAAGCTATGGGGCTGTGCTACAACCGGTCATTCTTCATAACACTCCTCTCCCTAGTGTTCACTCAGGTCTAGACTGGGGGGCTAGAGGGACTCTTTGTACACCTTCAGGGAAATCATTCAGGATATCTACCAGCTGCTGGTGTCAACCAAAAAGAAAGGCAGTGACTGAAGAGAGCCTTATTTGTACAGATCTGGGCAGTTGGCCCAGCAGGCACCTTGCAGCCACACTGCAGGAATCCTGACCGTCTCTCTCTAATGTGGCTGTGTTCTCCTGCCCCAGGAGAACATTCTCACAGCAGCATGGAGACCTGCAAAGTATTCTGAAAGTTTTTCACAAGACTTCTCAAATTTGTTATTTAGCAAAATGCTCTTTTGCTCAGAATGGGGCAGAGTTTTGTGTCAGAATTCTTGAGAGTTAAATTTTTCTTACTTTCTCAAAACCACATTTGTCGTCTAGCCCCACTGGTTCCAACCTTACTCTCTGATGCCTACCTGCCTTTTTTTTTCTGATTCCATGGGAGAGGGCCGGCAGCTGAGTTTATTGTTAATTCTGAGAGAAGTGATAAGTCGTTAGAACTCTATACATAGCTCTAGCTCATCTTAGGTATTTGTATACAGTTCATTCGTTCAAATCCTTCCGTTAGGACCAACAGCTCCTCCACAGAGGTAAGTAGGTTTCAGTACCTTTCAGTCAGCCTTACTTCCGAAGTAGCCTGCCTGCCAGAAGTGTTAAACATTTTTAAACAGAAGGAGGTGACAAAAGTTAAGAGGCAGCAGAGTCCAGGATCACTCCCCGTGGATTTTCCAGGCCTGAAATGGTAGAAGTAATGGTAGGTTACAAGTTTCTCATTTGTGACTTCCTGGGTCAGGCTACCCTCTGCAGGTGGCTGAGCTTTTGATCAGGAAACTTTTCCTGTTTGCAAATCAATGCTGGATGTACCCCACCAGCCAGAGTGTTTATTAAAGTTCTCCAGGCATCGGGCAGTTAATACTAGCTGGATAGTTCCCACTCAGGACACTGTACCCAGGAGGCTGGACTATCCCTGGGCAATTTGCTTGGGTTTGAATCCTGACTCTCCTATCCTTCCCAGCTGTGTGCCATTGGGCAAGCCACTTAACTGTGACCTCAGTTGTCTCATTTAGAAAACAAGAGTAAGAGTACCAAGTTCAGAATGTTTGTGAAAGTTCAGTTATTCCATATGAAATTAGGACCCTGTCTGGCACATTGTTGTTGTTATGTGCTATGGAGTCGGTTCCAATTCATAGTGACCCTGTACAGGGTTTCCAAGGTTGTAAATCTTTACGGGAGCAGAAAGCCTCATCTTTCTCCCACGGAACATCTGGTAATTTCAAACTGCTGACCGTGAGATTTCGCAGCCTGATTTGTAACCACTACGCTACCAGAACTCCTTTGTCTGGCACATAGTAAGCATTTAATAAACATTAGCGGTATCATTCCCTTGGGAGAAGTTCATTTATTAGACTTAGAGAGGAGCTATCATATGAGTTGGGTTTGGGGATTCAAAGATGAATATCAGACCTCAGAGCATATAACAAATGCTAAGTATATAATTGTGGAAATTGATTGAATGTGTAGAGTGAAAGAGATAAGCAGGCTCAAAATTGTAATCCAGTATGATAAGCAGTCATGGGGGTGGGGGTGAATGCAGTTCTGTGGGGAGCCCCGATATGGGAAGTCTCCTCAGTGGAAGTCAGTAGTAGTTTTTGGAATGGTACAAGGGATCCCTTGGCTTTATTAAATTGTTGATGCGTTTACAGATAGGCCTCATGAACCTTAATGAACCATTCATTGCAATTCGTTTAGATCTAAACTTTTCTGAACCTCTTTTTATCTTTTCAGCATGTTCTGCCTCGGGATAATGAGTCCCTAAGTACCACGCACTGTATCACAGCCTCAGTTGTGTGAAAATTATTTAAGTTTTGAGGACTTTGCCTCAGTTCTCATGCTGGGGAATGTATGATCCACAGATACTCTCTTCTTCAAACCTATAGCCCCTTAGGAGGTGTAGATTAAACCAACAATGGAGATGGTTACTGGGAAAATCTTTTCATGGAGGTGCTCTACTTGAAGAAAGTGTGGGCTTGGGATTTATTCAGTGTCTGCCCTCTACCACCTCCATACCCCCACCACCCTGTATACCTAGACAGTTTTTTTATTTGTCCTTACTCTACTCCTTTTTCCCTGCCCTCTGTGTTTGTCCAGGGGAAGCAGCACTGCCCAGCCTGGAGGAGAACCTGTGTAAGATCTGCATGGATTCACCCATTGACTGTGTTCTGCTGGAGTGTGGCCATATGGTAACCTGCACCAAGTGTGGCAAGCGCATGAATGAGTGTCCCATCTGCCGGCAGTATGTGATCCGAGCTGTGCATGTCTTCCGATCCTGAGGGCTCGCACCAGCTTCTACAGTGCCTTACAGGGACACAGCCTTTTGGGTGTCGGGGCTCAGGGTTGGCCAGCTTGCAGAGGGGCATGCTAACAAAAGAAAATTTATAGAGTTGTTCCCAAGACTAGGGCAGCCAAAGATGCCTGATCACTCCTGGGCATGCCCATCTTGTCACCACTTGCACCTCTTGGCTGACAGAGCCCCCGAGGCCAGTAGGACTGGTACAGATTGCATGGGCAAGTCCCTGTTTCCATGCTCTTGGAATGATTCTGGTAATTGGTGAACAGAGAATCTCCAGAACTTGGACTTCTGTCTCCTCCCTAACTCTGAGAAACCTAGATACCTGCTCATACAGTTTCACCCTTTCTCCTTCCTGCTTCCACCTGTCCTCTTCAGATGCTTGCCTCTTTCATCAATCAGAAGTCCTGGTTCTCTTCCTTGTCAGCACCCTGGGATTTAGGGCCCCTCTGGCTTTCTTTGCTTCCGTGTACTTTTGCTTTATTGCCTAAAATCCATGCTTCTTTGAACCAAAAAGATGGTAGCTTACCAGACCAATAGTGGTGCTCCATATAACAGAATTATGGACACATAAACTTATCTCTGGTGAGAAATGAAACACAAATGCTATTGAAAAATTTCAAAGTTAAGGAGCCCTGGTGGTGCATTGGTGAAGTGCTCAGCTGCTAACTGAAAGGTCAGTGGTTGAAACCCACCAACTGCCCCATGGAAGAAAGATGGAGTAGTCTGCTTCCGTAAAGATTACAGCCTTGAAAATGCTAGAGACCAGCTCTACTCTGTCTTATAGTGTTGTTAGGAGTCTGAATGAACTCAGTGGCAACAGCATGTTTTGTTTTGTTTTTTTTTAATGGAAACTTAATCTCTGTTGAGAAAGCACAAAAGCTACTGAAAAAAAAATCTCAAAAGTTGTTCAAGAGTTGAAGTGCTGAAATTGGAAGCTGTCTTCTGGCCCCACTTAGGGAGGCACCAAAGCATTGGCTCCGAAGCTGTTGGGCATTTCCAGTCTGCGTGAAGGTAGCATAGGGATCATGTCTGCTGCTGCTTTCCTCTCTCGGACCTAACTTGACACCATCCTTAGCCCAGTTTATGAGGAAAGGGAAAGCTTTAGGAGGAACCAGTGCCTTTCTATGTATCTTTGATTTAGGTCCTCCTTTCAGGAGTCTGAAATTTATTTCCCTGAGAACAAACTCTCTCCCTTTCCCATGAGATTCTAAGCTTGGTCTCAACAGCTGCATATTGGAAGTATAGGGACTTAGGTCAAGAGTCGGACTCCTCTCTAGCCTGACTCCTTATGACGCTCCTGGAGACCAAATGGAGGACAGAGCAACTAGCAGCTATCAGAAGGTACAGGAGGAGGCTGGGCTCTGTCCTTGAACAGGCAGCCAGAAGCCTTAATTACCCTGCTTGCTGAAGAGCCCCTACTTCCAGCTCCTTTCTCAGCCTACTGATTTGGGCACAGGTCAGGAAAAAGCATTTTCTAGGCCTTATAGGAGGACCATGTAATGAATGAGTAGGTGATGTTTTAAGCCAACTTAGGATCTTGATACCTCTTGGAGAAGAGCTTTAGTTAAGGAGTCCTGGTGTGGCACTGTGGGTTAATGTGCTGGATTGCAAGGTTGGTTTGAATCACAAGTTTGGTGGTTCAAGCTCACCAGCTACTCTTGGAAACCCTATACAGGGTCACTATGGGTCAGAACTAACTTGATAGTACAACAGAAGCTTGACCAAGCACAACTTAACATGTCCTTTTCATTGCCAGTGCCATGAGCTATGCAAACCTTGGCAGACCTGGTGTGCAACCAAGGTCTCCCAGAATTGTAACTTTGGAAGGCATTGGGAAATCTGTACTAAAGGGACTTAGGATAGCAGTGACGATATGCTTAGACATCTGTCATCAACCACTGTCTGTCTGGGGAAATGAAGTCATTTCAGAAAGTGTCTGTTGAACACTGGGCCACTTACCTCGACATTACAAGCCCTGGATTATTTGATTCTGGGTTTTGTAGGAATTGGGAGAATTACATTTCTGTTGGAAAGTGAATGACTGTAGTTTACAATGCCTTCCAGTTTAGCAAAGGATCACTTATTCAGCTACTCCTGGATTCCACTGTGAAACAGGTTTATATGCAACTTCGTGATATTTAGCAATAACTTAAGGGCAGAAGCTGGCTCTCAGCCGATTCAGAACTTGCTTTCTTTGTGAGGCCTTGCCTTCCATTTCCCTTTCTCTTCTCTCACACCCCAAATGTCCTGCTAGGTGGAAATTGAAAATAAAATCCCAATGGCTGGTTACTAACCTCAGGAAGAATTAAGAACTGATGTCTTACGTTCATCGTGGAGAACGAACTTTAAATCTTTCAAGATCTTTTGGTGAAGGTTTCCATTTAGCAAAACAGATGTTAAACTCACCCTGGTGTTGGTACCTTCTTTATTGTAACATCAAAAGTGGGAAGTTCCAAGATCCCATTCCAGTGACTATCTAATCCAGGTAGAACACTTGACTTTTCATCCCTGAATCCTCTCCTACCCCACATGAATACTTGGTCTTATTTGTTATGGAAACATACGATTCCTTGGCTTTTGCTGTGATTGTTGTGAGATTTCAGTTGAGACTTGTTTTAAAAGACTGGTTCATAATTCAAATAGTTGGATACAAACTGTTAAGAATAAGCTGTACAGGAATTATTGCTCAAAATATATTGTATAAATTTATTGAAAAACTTTTTGGATATAAATGTTACTTCAAGTGGCTTATATGGAGATTTTCCAACTTGGGTGTTAAAGCAAACCCTTTTTTTTTTTTACACAGAGCTCTGCTTTATAATTTTATAATAAAGTTTCAATATAGAAGCCCGTCTCATCCGGTTTGAGGTTGCCAGAGGTCTATTAAGATTGACAAGACTTGATAAGCCCCAGTCCCATCCCAGGCCATGTGAGGCGTGCTCTTGAGAGATGGCACTGGTTTGGAGACCCCTGTTCTGCTGGTGTGACCCGTCTGACCTCACAGCTAATATGCAGAAATTGCCACCGATCAGCCTAAATGAGCATGGGGGCTGGATGGGAAGGAAGGAATCCCAAGGCCAGATAGGCTTGAAGTACCAGGTGAGTTTAGGAATAATTCTGATTTGGCAGAGCTGAATCTGGGTGCACAGCAATCCAGGTAGCGCCTCAAAGGTTACCCTAGGAGCCAGATCATAGCTTTTGGTTACAGATGTGAGACAGCTATGCGCATGTAGCTCAAGAGAAGTCTAGCCCAGTCTCCTGGGTGAACTGCTGGGTATGTACAGACTGGTACATCTCTCTCACAATAGGTTCCCAGGAACGCACATGCAGGCTTTGGGCAAACAGGTCCTATGCTTATATGCTCTGTGCCTGCGAAGAGAAGAGAAAGGTACCTGGCCAGAAAGTGTCAAGGTCTGTCTGGGTCACAGAACTTGGTCCTCACTGCTTTAAGTGGTTGCTTAGGGTCAAGTGGAAATACATGAAAGGTTATAAGACTGCACTACAGTGTGGTATCAGAGTAACAAAGAACATGCATCAGGAAGTAGACAAGATAGGATGGTGACTTTAGGATAGTCTGTGATAAGACTGAGAAGGGTTGGGGCGGAGCAATGATCACCTGCAGCTAGTGAGGGTGGCTCCTGGCAAGTAAGCAACCAGTGAGGATGCCACACCGGGCAGGAGAAAGATCCCAAGTGGTGAGCGTTGTTCTGCTGCCCTGTCCGGTAGCTTGGCCTGAGGCTGGAAATCAATGTAGGTCACTGCTCAGAGGAGAAGCTTTTGTCTCCTCAGAGGAAGGACAAGAGCGTCTTGCTTCTCAACACTGAAGCCAGACTGAATGGTGCCTATTCAAAAACACCCATTGTCCTGGGCTGCCGTCAGGGCAGTCCCTCCTCCTCACCTTCCCCCCAACTCTTCGTACTGTAGGTGGAGGCCTTACTAAACTGACTGGCAGGCAGCCTCACAACAGGTCACCTTGGATGAACAAGCCAAAGGAAGGGCGGTGGTCCTTAATGATATTCAAATAGGTTTCAGAGGTTGAGCCTCATTAACCTAACTTTACAGATTGACAAATAACCTGCTCATTTGTTAATAAAGAAAAGGACAACTGGCAAGAGTTCACAGGGGGACAAGAAAGCTACTACAAGGTTAACAGGAGGTTAGCATGATGAGCTGGTGCCGTTCCCAGCAGGGACCCCTTCCTCCTGAGGTAAACACTCTGGTCACTGGGTCTCAGGCTGTATGCTGTCTTCATGTATTGGAGTTCACCATTTACAGGTGAGGTATAACTCCTATCCCAGTTCTCTTTGGATGTTCCAATGTTAAACTTGCCTCTGAACGAGACACAACGCTTACATTTCACGGTTGAGATTTATACTACGTCTGCTGACATCTGTGCTGCCCAAAGCAGTAGTCACTAGCCACATGTGACTAAGTTTGAATTAAAATGTAAAAATCCTCAGTTGTGCTAGCTGACTTTCAAGTGCTCCTATGTACCTACAGGCTGTCATACTGGACAGTGCAGATTTAGAAGGTATTTCCATTGTCACAGCAAGTTCTATTGAACACAACTCCTGTTGGCCTTCATTACTGCACTCGGCCTCGGGAGCCTTTCTTTATAAGCAGGTAGTACACAGCTGTCCTTGGATAAAGGTTTTGTTTTTTAATAAACATCAGCCTCATTTCTAGATTTTAGGAGAGGGAGAGTCTCCTGAAGTCGTATGTCCTGCCCCCAGAGAAGTAGCCCAAGTAACATCCTCTTTTTAGGTTCCCACTTGATCCTGGTCCATTCCCCTCAGCATAGGGACCCACACACTTAATAGACCACAGAGAATCAAGTCATAAAAGTTCATTTTGTTTTCTTTCACTTGGGGTTTCATTCTGTATACTGCTGTTTCCAAAAAAAAGACTTTCAGGGACCATTTTGTAAATGCAGCTTTAAAGTGAGCCTGGAGTAAAAGGGGGGATGTGAGGGAAGAGAAGACTTGTGAGTCACTGACCCAGCCTTCACCTCTCTAACCACCAGGGGGGACTCATAGGGAGGGGGGTGCAGATGGTACCAGGACAGATATTTGTTATAAAACTCCCCCGAAACAGCTTTTTAAAGAGAACCAAACCAGCACCCAGATGGAAAGAGCTGTTAAAAGCAGCAAGAGAAACGGATTTCACTTGTGGGACCCACAGTAACTCATTCCTGGCCCAGCGGAGACCCTGAATAGCTGGCGGGTTTGGAAGATGCACTACCTGGGGAAGACAGTCCATCCCCGCTATTCTGTTCCTCCGCTGGCTGGCCTAGCAGGGAGACACCAGCCTCCGTTTTCGGATGCATGCCCAAATCCACTCTGGGGAGACCTGCTGGGCCTCAGGGTTCTTGTCCCCACCGCCCAGGATATGTGTGGCTGAGGCCATGTCAAATTCCTGCACCAGATCTCCGTCGAATGCCACAAAGTAGCGTCTGAGACGGCCGAAGTTTGGTGTGGAGGGTGGCAGGTAGAGCCGCACCCCAGTGAAGATGTCCAGCAGCACCTACAAGTGCAGAGGGGTCAGGGTGGGGTCAGAGGGGCCTCAATCCCATCCTCTAGACCTCCAAATGCTCCAGGCCTGACACCCCACCCAGTCCATCTCTGCCTAAGGGAAAGCACAAAGGAGCTGGTAGCAGGCTCTGGACAGCATATTCTTCAGAGCCAGCCAGTGGCCCTCAGACTCAGTGAAGCCCTTGAAGGTGGAGCAAAGCCCAAGCTACGGAGCTATAGAAGCCCCACCCTGGATGGGCTCTAGGGCTTCAGGGCAGGAGAAGGCACGGGTGGGAATCTGGGAGCTGGGTTAGGGCCTGGATGGCCAGATGGCTGGGCTTAGCCTTTGACTGGGGACAGGAGGGCGCATACACACTCTATCTACACTTTGGGCTATCAGCTTCCCAGGGTAAAGCCAGTGCTCAATCAAAGGGAAAAAGCTCCCATGTGCAGGCCAGTCACCAAGCCAGTGCCCTTGCCCCGTCCTTGCTGGCTGGACCTGCTCCGCCCCATCACAAACTCACACTGCTGCACTCCCACACCCAGACTGGGCTTTCTCCCCTTTAATGTCAATTGTGTTTGGGGCCAGGAGCCCGGCAGGTCCCTCAGCCTCTTGGCTAGGCTGGCTGTTCTAGCTCCTTCCTCTCTGTTGGCTGGCTGGTCGCCTCTGCAAGGCAATGAGAGGGCACAGGGTGGAGCACTGGCCCTGCCCAGAACAAGAGGCTCAGCAGAAGGAAGAGCAGGGGTGAACACTAGCATCTTCTCAGAGTTCATGGCAGAGCTGAGGCCCCAAGCACACTGCTCTTCCCTCCTCACCTTGGTTTGGCATGGGGTGTCATCGGGAGCCTTTCGCTTTACTCCCACTTTCACTGGAGAAGGCTTCACGGGTGGCTTCGGTCCTGCGCTCAGCGTGGTGCCTGTGGGAGAGCGCAGGATGAGAACTAAGAGGAAGTCAACGTAGCACACGGAAGGGCCAGGAGACACTTGATTGGGGGGTGGGGGGTGGGGCACACTATGCCTTTAGTTCAAAGTGGCTTCCCCAGGTTTAAGCCTCCTGGGGTCCTGCTGTTCAGGTTTACTGAGCAGAGTGCCTAGCAGAGCAGCTTCTGGTTCATGGCTGGACATACACAAGAATGTAGACAATGTCTGGCCCCACACACCATCCTCTGTCCCCCAGCCCCTCCCTTACCGCCTTTGCTGTTAAGGTCACCCTGCTTACCCCCTTCTGCCTTCTTGCCACTAGCAGAGGGTTTCTTGGGGGAGGCTCTGGGGGCCTTGTGGGACACAGCAGGCCCTGAGGTGCCCTCGTTCTCTCCACTGCTGCCCCCTGCATTGCCGGCCACTACAGTGAAGTCCGCCCGCTCCTTGGACAGCTGGTACAGTTCCTGAGGAAGGGAGGACACCACCAGGCGATCTTATGCCCTTTCTAGACACAGGTGGTCTAGGGGCATGTTTTAGGTGCACGTGGGGAGTCAAAGCGAAAAAGAAAGGTAGCAAGAAAAGGAACTGGCTTCCTTGGTGCGTTCTCTGTACCTCAGCTGTCAATAAAGTAGGACCTGTCATCTGGGGGCAAGCCCCTACAAGGAAGTTGTGAGACAGAGGCAGCTCAGTGGGTCTAGGGGGCAGCCTGGTGCTGCAGCTCTTAGCTCTGCAATCCCTCAGTGGAATGGGAGAAAGGGGCAGACAGGGCATGTGGACAGGCCAGAAGGCCAAGGGTGCAAAGCTGGGATAACAGGCAGGAAGACAGACACTCATACCCTCACACCCAAAGAGCTGGCACCTTAAGTTGGGGGAGGTTAGTGGCAGATTTCCAGTCCTTATCGTCACGGATTCGAGTGCAGCGAGGGAACCGGATGGAGATCCCATCGGCCGTGTGCGCCTCAGATTTGGAGAACTCAGCCCCTGTGATTTCCCACACGGCAGCTTTCTGTCAGGAGCAAGTTGGACAAGTGAGTAAAGAAAGCAAGCGTGTCACAACAGCATCCAGGAGCAGGGCCAAGCTACCAGGAAACATGGGTTCTGGTCCTACTGATGCTATGTGACCCTAGGGGAGTTCAGCTTTGCTTTTTCTGCTCCTCAGTTTCTGTCAGTACAAGGAGCAGCAGGGTTCTAGGACTAGGGGATGGGAACTTTCTACTGATAGCTGTGTCAACTGCTGCCCCTGCCCCACCCCCCCATGTCTGTCACTCAGCTGAATACTTCCAATTCCCACTCCTGGGGTGAGGTGGCTTTTCCATGTAAGCTGAGTTTGTGGACTGGGGGACCACAGACCACAGGGCTGATACCTTTGGGTCTGGGACGATAAAGTCAGGATAATAGATCTTGTTGACTTTCAGCCAGCCAGGTATCTTTCTGGGATCCTGAAAGATAAAAGATGTGGTTCTCGGCTGTTCACAGCTGGAATGAAGCTTCAATGTCCTTTCTTGGTGATGGGGTGTGAGAAGAGGTGCCCCTCACCCTGTGATTGTCCCTGCTCAGCACAGGTGACCCCGAGGGCATGTGGGTCAGTGGGCCTACTCCACCAGGAAGGTGCTCAGAGACTCTGAAAGCCTAGGAACGCTCCCGTTGGCAAAAGCACAGCTCATCTCTAGGGAGATGGAGAGATGATAGCTGCAGTAATGGTGTGGGGCCAGCCCAGACCTGTCCTCACCTTGCTGATCTTTACCATGTCCAGCTCCTTTTGCAGGCGTGCGAGTGTCGCGTCATCGTGGCCACCTGCACACTTGGTGACGGTGCACCACTTCTGGCTGCCAGGGTCGTAGCAGCCCATGAGGAAGATCGACATCATGCCACCTGGGTGGGGACAGGGGCTGCGTTGTAGGGCAGAGGGAGCCACTTCTGCCAGACCACAGAGTCCCAGGTGCCCAGGGAAAGGCAGCCTGGTTGGGAGGAAAGGGTCTGGGTCCTGGCTTTAGTGTCAGAGTTAACTAGATGTGCAATGTCAACTTAATCTTTCTGAACCCCCACTTCCTCTTCGGTTAAAATGGGGTGAGTAAGCATACCCATTGTGTAGGGCTCTGGTGAAGGGTAAAAGGGACTGAATTGTATCGGACAACATAGTAGATGTTTAAAAGTATTCATTCCCTCTAATTAGGAAATGGAGGTTTTCCGTGAAGACAAAGCTGCCAGGGCCTGAAGAAATATTTGGTGCTATGCTTCCTTGTGCTGAGCAAGCATGTGAGATTCTCGCTTGACCTCTCCTGGCCCTAGTCTGTATGCAGCCTCAGATGTCCCTACTGAGGTGATACTGAGGTGATAGAAGCCAGACTGGGGCCCCAGATGCCAGGACTTGGGAAGTCATGATTGGCTGTGCTGGCAGGTCCATCCAGTAAAAATACCAGCCTGTTCCCAAAGCACAGCCTTCCAAAGTATCATTCCAGGGCTAGAGGCCATCCTGACCTTTGCTCCCTTGCCCATAGAAGGCCCCAAGGACCACTAGGTCAGCTGTGTCGGCCATGGCCCCCTCGTTCAAATAGTCCTTCTTCACTTTCAGCCAGTGCCGTTTCCCAGGCTCGTATGTACCCTGACAGGAAGTAAGAGAGAGACCAAGAGCTAGAATGGAAACCCCATGAGGGCAGGGCTTCTCTTTCTTGGCTATACACCAGATCTACACACTGCCTATCCTATTCTGGTATTATTATTATTATTGTTATTATTTTATGAAAACACAGCCAGAGGAAGACTCCTCTGTAATCCACGGTAGCAGTGCCAACTGATAACCAGCAACAGGGTCCAATTCCTTGCCTGGACACTGTTACCCAGAATGCATGGGGCAGGATGCGGACAGACCTGCATATCCACCCCGTTTCTTCAATTCCTAACACAACCGTTTAAGAGCAGAGCCAAAACACAGGCTTCAGGTACTACTGGAGTCACACAAAGCCCACCCTGCAGATCTGAACCATGTCCAAACAGCCACCCAATCCACCTCAGACTACTACTGCCCTCTCCGGCCAGAGCTGCAGACTCAGGGGAGCAAGCTGAGAGTCTGTGTAAGAGAAGCAAAGGATGTGACCGCCTTACCTTCACGTCCTTCAGTACCAGCCCTTCTAACCCCTCACGGATCACCCGGTTTATCATGTCGACCAGGTCCGAAGCTTTCTGAGCGGCAAGAGAAATATCCGAGGTTGGTGTGTGGAGAGAGAGTAATGTGGGAGTGAGGTGGAGGGTCTTCCCTTTTATACACTGGAAACATCTCAACTTAAGTACAAGGGCAAAGGCTTTGCAAAGCAGGCAGCAGTCTAGCCAGAGAGCTGGTGACTTGGGGTGCCTAGAGATGTAGGTGTTGAGGAATTACCTTACCCTACCCTCCTGGAAACTAGTAGACAACCTATGGAATCGCCAAAGGCAAAATCATCAGCAGGCCCCATAAAAGAGATTAGGACTCATTGCCCTAGTCACACCTCACCCAAGGGGTTCTCTAGCCTGCCTTCCAGGGTAGAGCTCTCACTCACCGTGACTTGCTTCATTTCTGAGAACATGATCCGGTTGGGAATTTCAACCATGTTGTCGTGGAGAAACTTCCGCCGCTCACAAAGAGACCTAGGGGGAAGAGAGAGCTGAGGTCAAGGCTGAGATCTCGCTGGCTTGCATTCAGAATTCTGAGAAGGGAAGCGACACAGTGGTATAAGTGTCAGGAGATGGTATGATGCGGGTAATAGCTCTGCCTGCCTAGGGCTGCAGGCTCCATCTTGACCGAGGATGGACAGTCGTTAAATTGTGGCAGAGCCACTGCATGGCTGTAATTCCTTATGCAGCAGAGGCAAGGGAGAACTGGCCTCTAGCCCATGTAAGTTTCAGAAATCCTGGTGCTACATGAAGAACGACTCAAGACTCTCGGTGTTGATCTGACACCTTGCTGCAGCCCAAACCCAAGGTTGGATGATCCTTAGGTCAGCAGGCTGAGGCAGTGACTTAGATACGAAGCCTAAACCCCAACATCTACCTCCAACAAGGTTTCTCTTTTCTATGTCCTCCTTTTTCCACACTCGAGGTGTACGCATCGGTGACAGGTGTGGAGCAGGGATAATATTTCTAAGTGTGGAAGGAGCCAATAGTGGTTTCTGGGCCCATGATGCAGTTTTGATGCAGCTCAGTCCAGACTGCTAGTTCTCCCTAAGATGGTGCCACCCACAGCCACTCCTATAATCTCTCGTGAAATCAAAACCGCCGAGCTAAAAAACACCTGCTTTACGGCCTTATGGGCGCTGCTGGGGAAGTGACTGGCTCTCCTCGGTGCTCTGCACATCACCATGCTGTGACTCACAACTCAGCAGACACAGCACCTTGTCACCCTGAGTGGGGAGCTCCCTGCTGACCCTGCTCAGGCCAGCTCCTGGGCACACACAGGCATAGGGCCCTTCCCTGCCCTCCTTCCCAGGTGGAAGCCCCTCATCTCCACACCCAGGATACTGGAAACAGATGCCTGGCAGTCTGTGGGCTAAAGATGTTAGTTAACCTCACCTGTCCATCAAGCTGACATCATTGAAGTAAATACAATCAAAAACAAACAGGCACACATTTGCATCTTGGAAGGCAGCTTTCTGTAAAGGAAAAGAAGGCAGTAAGGGGGACAAAAAGGCAAAAAAAAAAATAGGGATGACCAGTCCACTTTTGGGGGCCTTTTGAAGCACCTCAAGGGCAAACTCCTATTTTGCTTTGACAGCTGAAGCCACAAGGGCATTCAGCAGGTGCTGAATGGAAACCAACCCAATTGTAAGCTTTCCTTATGCAAAAAAAAAAAAAAAAAAAAGATACACACAGACTGACAGCACGCACGCATACACACACAGTCACTCATTCTTGCACTCACATGGATGGCCCTGAGCCAGTACCTTGTGTACACCAAGAGTCCCAAAAGGCAGAGGTTTGCCTGTCTTGTTGTCTATCAGGAGCACTTCTGAATCCAAGATCATGCTGTGGCCCCCAGGGAAAGCCTGAGGGATGTAGTCCTTAAAGTGGGCCACCTGGGGACAGAGGGTCACTTAGGCTGGGGATGAATGAGCACCAGGAACCTGAAGCCCAGTCACGGAAGGACAGAGCACAGAACACATGCGGCAGGCCAGCACATGCGCAGGCAGAAGAGGGGTAGTTATCAAGCTATGATCAGGTGGGGGGAGAGCAGACTGGTGACAAAGAAGACAGACAGGATGACATGACCTCAGCAGCAGCAAGGAAAAGGGAGTAGGGCCTTGCCTGAGGAGGGGCACTGAACCCTCAGCTGTACTTCAGAATGTGGATGAAAGGATGTTTGAAATTTATTATTATTATTTTTTTATGAAAGCACAGCCAGAAAAGGCCTCAGTTGTAGCAGTGCCAACTGATAAGCAGCAACAGCGTCCAATTCCTTGCCTGGACACTGTTACCCAGAATGCGTGGGGCAGGATGCAGACAGACCTGCATATCCACCCCTCTTCTCCTTCAATTCTTAATGCAACCATTTAAGAGCAGAGCCAAAGCATAGGAGAGACAAGAGATGAAGGGGTTTTCCAAAGGGAAAGCAGGGAAGAAAAGGCCTTTCATTCTGAACGCCATACTCAAACTTCTTACTGGGCAATAGGAGGGACATTTTACTGCCAACCCCACCAAGCGCAGCTCCTCAGCAGTCTCCCAATGCTCCACAGAACAAGTGAGGCTGCGCTAACGCTCCACAGGCCACTTCTCTTAGCTCTGCCGTGAAATGCCAACACCACATGGCTGGCTGCTTTGTCCCAGCTCTCCAACCAGAAGGCATGGCTTGGGTACAGACATGAACCATGCAGCACAGCCTGACCTGAGCTAGGAGATGGGGGGGCAACAAGGACAGGAGTTCTACGTCTACTGAGCCACATGTTCCTGCTGCCCTGAGAACGGAGAGAGCTGCAGGAGTAGGTTTCTCAATGGCCTCCGATTCTTTCACTGCTCAAGAGCAGATCTGGGCTTCCAGATGTCACCGTGGGACTGTGTTCACATATAATGAATGTATGCTCCATAAGGACCAGGGCTTCTGTCCATTTTTTGTCACTGCTCTATCCCTCCTCCTGAGAATGGTGCCCAGCGCCAACTCAACACTTGGTAGCTATTTGCTGAACACATGAAGGCACTGCAGCCCAGCAGCCAGCCCAGGGGAGCACACAATGTGGACGCTTGAGAGCTGAAGCCTGCCCATGGCTGAGGACACATCACTTTCCTGACTAGCCCAGTTCTGGGCTGTCTGTCCCTGATAAACAATCCCTCATTACTGCAAGACTTCAAAACTGATTTCATTCAACACATACTAAATACATTGCTACTGTGTACCAGAGCTGGGATGCCTATGACCTCTGGCCCTCAGATACCTAGGGCCAGAGGCAGGAAGGAGAGAAGGTCCAGGAAGAAAAGAAGGGACTTATACCTTGTGAGGTAGGACGGGCTTGAGGCTGCGGCTGAAGTAGCTGAAGTGGTCTCCGTTCTTGTGCACCTGCACTCGCTCCCCATCATATTTGATCTCAGAGAACATCCCGTTGGGACACTTCTTCATCGCGTAGTCGATAGACTTGCAGGCCTCGGCCTTGGGGTGGGGAAAAGGAAGCCTGGAGACTCAAGGATGCTTTTCCGATAATGACGAGAGTTAAGGGGCCTGGACTTGGGCTGGCAGGCAGAGCCCAGGCCCTGGGGACTCAGAGAGTCCATTGGAGAGGTGAGAGGGCTAGACAGTTCTAGGCCACGTGGGATTCTGGTGTAAAGCATTATCAGAGTTGACACAGGAATTGTCATTCTGAGGACTATGAATCCGATTATGGTAGAGAACGAACAATGTCAATAGTAAAGCATTTCATCTTTTTCTCTCTCAATAAGTTAGGATCGTGCAGGGCCTCTGGGTTACTGTTGAAAACATCAGTTATCTTAACACAATGCAGGTGATAGTGAGGCTGGCAGGACAACAGGGATCAAGGATTCCTAGGGCAGGACATCCTGACACAGGTCTGCTCATTCCCACACCCACACCACCCCGAACTCAGACACCAGCTTCCATTTATTAAGTAACACCTTGTATGTGTCAGCTCATATGCACACTCTCATTTCATCCTTAAACCAACCCCAGCAATAGGTATTATTGTTTTCATTTTATGGCTGAGAAAACTGAAGTTCAAAGAGGTCAAATACTAGCTTCTTAAGGTAACATTATTACATAGTTAGTAAATGGCAGAAATGAGATTTTAACCTAGACCTAACTCCAATGCCTTAAACCACTAAGCTATACAAGGGGGCTTCAAAAACTGGTGGAAAAATTTCATTATCTTTCCATTCCATTTATTCACATTCTTGGAGCCTCCTCGTATAATCCATGCCATTCTTCAAGAGAGAGGCTATAGAACAGAAACAAGAAGGAATTCCTGTAAAAGACAGAAAGGGCATTACTGCAGGTGACAGGGGTCCCATCTCAGGGACGGAGGTCTCACTACTTTGGGGACTGAGACAATACTTCCCTATCTCAACCAGAGAACTCTAAACTAAGCCTTTGGTATAATGCATTTCTGAAATAAAACACACCACTGGAAAAATCCGAAGAACTTTACAAGCAGATAAGGCAGCGTACGTGGTACAGGGCTGGGACAGTAAATCCCACTCCTCACAGAATAAGCAGAAGGCCGAGATGGTCCAGCAGAGCTTCCATACCTCTTTCCCCAGAAGAAAAAGAGATCTGAGTCACCCTGTCACAGGCAGCCTAGCTCTGCCACCAGCTCCCATAGTGACTTTGGGGCAGGCTGCAGACCTGAGGAGTTACTGAGTACGGCAGGTCAAGCAAGCCAAGTAGACACTTCAGAGAATTACAGATGTCATTCACACAAGAAAATGAAAGACCAAGAGAGCTTAGGTAAGTCACCTAAGACACTAAGCTTGTTGGTGGCAGAGTTGGGGCTCAAGTTTAGATCTTCCCCCTAGATCACACTGTCTTTGCCGTCACCTCCCCATGAGGAAAAAGGTCCCTCTGCAGTCCCACCCTGCCTCCCTCCAACTCCATCAACTTGCAAGAATCCCACCTGAAGCATATGCCACGTGGCGGAGAGCAGGGAGGAGCATGGGCAGGGGCAAGGGCAAGGCCAGAGAAGCGCTCCTCACCAGCATGGGCTGCACAGGGGTCATCAGCGAGGCCTCGACACTCAGAATCCGTCTCTGACCTGGCTCCTTCTCCACCTCCTGCTCATTGCGAAGGATCCGCTCCACCACATCCTGCAGGTTGCGTGAGGCTTTGAAGGCTTCGTAGGCGTTGGGGTCAAGAGCATCTAACCTGTCAAGAGGGACAGGAGCAAGGAAAACACAACCCACTGCCTCTGACCCTATTGTTTCTGAGAGCACTGTCTGACCTCAAAGCAAACAGGGGTCCCAATAGGCTGGGTCCTAGTGTTGAAAGAAAGGAAGAGAAAGAGCTCTTAGAAAAAGTCTTCTTGTGTGCGCTACTGTGCCTACTTGGATATTGCTGTAGCAAAGGAGGGGGTTGGAATGAGCAAGAAACTCAGACTATACCTACTGAACAAATCCCACAAGTACTGGGACAGTTCCTCTGTATACGTGCCATCTCATTTTCAGTTTACGTGGGAGAAAATGAAGGCAGAGGAAGCTCAAGTGAATCATCAGGCTCCCACCGGAAGTCAAAAAGTGAAATGGGAATTCAAATCCAGATTGGGACTCCAAAGTTCTGACAAATGGCAACAAAGGAAGCGGAAAGTGAAGCCGTCCTAGGAGGTGTTACTTACACATGTTTGGCACCTGAGTTCATCTTCAGATCATGTTTGATCAACCTGATGATGCACTTAAGGTCATTGGCTGTACACCTAAGGGATGAGGCATATTTGAATTGGTTCTGAAGAATGCTGGGCCCCCAAGCCTTCCCCTCCACACTGGGCCTGCTTTGACTGGGGCAGCCCCACCTGGAGGCCACGTCCTGCAGGGCCTGCTGCTGCTCGTCCTCCTTGGTGAGTCTGGAGAGCTGCAGGAGGAACTGGTCCACCTCCTGGATGGTAAGGAGGCTCTTGGCAGCTGGGGGGAAGGACTTGCTCTGCTCAAAGAAGACTCTGATTGTCTCTGACACATCACCCTGTCTCCAAAAACCAAAATGCTACTGCTGCAGGCCTGGGGTGGTCAGGTATCGCCCCCACACCCAGGACTCAGATGAACCGGAGGTGTCAATCAATGTTCCTGTCCCCAACTTACACATACCTCTCTTTCTTCTCAGGGCACCTCTACCCATCACTGCCTGAGCCGAGAAGGGACACAAGAAGTAATTGAGGGCTGAGCTAATTTGATTCTTGCTCCAGAATTTGAACTAAAAGGCGAAATATGATCACCAGGAAACAGAAGTTTTTCAATGGACATTTTCCACGGTGCCAAGTCTGGAATCAGGACCAAACCACACAGCTGGATGTCAAATCCCAGTTATAGTGGAGAAGAGCAAGTAACAGAATCGAGAACCACAGCCCCAAAGAGAGAGAGGGAATTTTCTCGCTCTGGGCCTGGCATGGCCCCCAGAAGGGTGTTCTCAGTCCTCAGAACCTTGTGAAATTAACAGCTGTAGCCTTACATTCAACTCCCCCTTCTCGGAAGTTTGCTCAAATAGGTTTCAGTTTCCTAACAACAGCATGCGTCCCAACCAGAACTAAGAGGCTGCAGGTGCCTGGCTTGGCAGAACTGCACCTGGAACGCCGCCGACCCTTCCCCACCCCTGACCTGCTCTAGATCCCGTGCCATGTCATCTGGATTGCAGTTGAAAATGCGGCTGAAAAGCTTCACAATCTGCTTGTCATTCAGGTTGTAAACACTCTTAATGACACCCGGCAGCAGCATCTTTACCGTTAGGTACACGTCACCATGGAAACCATCTGGAGACACAGAGAAAGGAACCCTTCTTGAGAAATGGAGCTTAAATACACAAGCTCAAGGAAGCAGACACTCTAGACTGAAACAGAGCCATGCGAGGGAGCTTCAAAAAATTTGTGGAAATATCCCATTATCTTTGGGTTCCACTTCTCCATGAATTTTTGGACACTCCCTCACATATGACACCTATGTTCTCACAGTGCCTTGGCCATGTCACTACTGTAGAAGAGGCCTCACAGTTGAGTGGCTGGTGCTCACGTGTCTGCCAGGCCTTTAGCCTGTGAATGAAGCCCCGCAGGCCAGAGGCATGACAGTCACTCAGTGATGAGTATGTAACACATGCATAATGACTACTTGTTAGATGCATGAACATTTCAAGTTGTGTGTGTGGTTCACAAAACCCTAATCAAACACACAGGGATTGTGAATTTTCCTCTTGATCAAATGGGATGGCATCTTCTGGTTTCCTGGGGACATAATAAAGGCAGAGGAAGAAAGATACCCAAGTACTCTGAGCACAATTGGCTACATAATTTGTGGGGCCCTGGGCACAATGAAAGGAGCCCTCGTGGTACCATGGGTGAAATGTTGGGCTGCTAACTACAAGGTTGGCAGTTTAAGCCCACCAGCCACTCGGAAGGAGAAAGATGAGGTTATCTGCTCCCCAAAAGATTTAGTTTGGGAAATCCCAAGAAGCAGTTCTACTCTCTCCTGTTTGGCTAGGTATGGGTCATAATCGACTCAATGGCAGTGGTTTGGTGCACAATGAGAATTTGGGGACCCTTGATCAGAGTGATTAAGAATTTCAGGGCAGTGACAGCAGAGCACCAAGCCAATCATGAGGTCCTGTGGAACTGCACAGGCTGTGTACCCAAAAAGCCAGGAGGTTCACGGCCCCACCTCCTGCTGAGCCTTTCCGCAGGAAGTCCTGGATGATCTGGGTCTTTGTGTTGTAGCTAGGATTGTCAGCCACCATGGCGCACAACTTCCGGAACTCCCGCAGCAGACAATCCTTGTGCTTGGGGTCACATCTTCTTGAGGACAGGCTAGTCTTAAGGGGAGGGCTTGAGGGGGCTTCCCCAGAGTTGTTGGGTTTGGCTGTTGGAAAGAGAGAAAGGGAAACAGTGAGATGACTCATTTTCCTTTCCCAGGAAGAAAGGCAAGGAGGGAAACTAACTGGCTTTCTTAGCTGGTGCTTTATACAGTGCTTCACGTGATGCCCCCACATAACCCTCTGGTGCAGGAATCATTATGCCCACTTTACAGAGGTAAAGACATGGGGGTTAGTAATGTCCCCCAAATTCCATACCAAGGAACAATGGCCTGACAGCTGAGCAGATGACCTGGCTGACGTACTTCTCTGGAAGTGAGTGCTTCACAAGGGAACAACAGTTGCATGCGTATCAAGAGTGGCCAGGACGGTCTCAGTACCATTGTAAAGCAGCTCCCAGAACAGGTGGGATGAGGAACAAGAAAGCAAGGGACACACTAGTCAATGTGAAATCCTTGTCACTGCAGACTGTCAGAGGAGGAAGAAGCCTTAAAGATGATCTTCTTACTGAGGAGAACAAAGTAAGACCCCCCCAGGCTCTCCCATCCCTCCCCTCATCACCACTTTCTTGTCTTTCATAATGTCCAAATAAAGGCAGTCAATCAACAAGCCAGGCTTTCCCCCAGACACCTACAAATAGCTCTAAGGCCAACTCTTTCGGGATTCCCTCTCACGTCCATATGATCAGCTGCACAGCAAATTTCATTCTGCAAGCTTGCGGCAAGAGTCAGTAACCTGCTGGAAGCTTCTTCTTGTCAAGGTTATATAAATTTAGCTAGCCTAATCTCTGACTGGAACTGAAGTAGGATTTTAAGGGACAAAATCTCCAAAGCACGATGCTCAACCAGACTGCCAGGTAACTAGAACATAATGTGTCTCCTATTTCCTTCTGAACTCCTTCCCCAAGAGCAGACCCCTTCCAGAAGCAAACTGTCTTTAGCACCACCTGGATTCTTGAGTATTTCTATCTCTGGCCTACCATTAAACAAACAAAAAATCCCAGAGTTTTAAGGTGATAAACGTCCACAGCCAGGTCCCAATTTTGCAGCATCATTTCCTTGAGTCCTGTGAGATACTGTGTAGTAAACAAGGCAGGTATAGCCATTCCTGTTTCACAGATGAGGGCCCGGAGCCTCAGAATCGCGTAGGGACTTCCTTGCGATTAAGTGCCTGTCAAGTGACAGTGCTGAGCCCTGAACCTGTCTTCTGGCCTCTGGCCGAAGCTTCTTTCTACCATGGAAAGCTGTCTCCCAAAACCACCTCTGAGTCTAAGGTTTGGCTTTATTAATTTTCTTTGGCTGAGTCAGTCACAAAAATGCCCCTAACAGTAAGGCAGGTGAAAACACAAGTGTTGGGGGTTAAACAGACGTCAGTGCAAATACCAACTCCATAATGAACCTGAACATCAGTTTTCTTATCCCAAAACTGGGCCTAGTAAAACGGCTTCCTAGGATTAACAGAAGAACAAATGAAAGGACGTTATATAAAAGCCCCAAGTCCAGCCCCACCTGGTACGGACGGCTAATAAAAGATACTGATGCTTTCCACACCTAATGGATGAACAAGGCTTTTTCCTGTCTCATCTGTGAGATAGTAATTCTAGATTTTATATGAAGAAAACCATGTGTGTATACATGTATAAATGCATGTACATAAAGAGGCTTCAAAGTTGTGGAAAAGTGGAATGAATATATAATGGCATTTTCTCACAAACTTTTGGAAGTCCCTTCATATGCATTATAGGTAAAGAGACAGGAAAGAAAACTCACCCTGCTAAGGAGACACAGGTAACAGCTGCAATTGAATCCTCCAGTTAACTGATTGCTCAGCTTCCAGCTGAAATGTCAACTTTCTCAGAGATGTCCTGTCTCATCTTTCAGAGACCTCAGGTCCACATTAATATTTCTCTATATACTTTATAATTCTCCCTCAAAGCTCGTACCAAATTGGATTTATTCACTTACTGGTGATTTCTAGAAATTGCTTACTATCTGGTAGACTGTTAGCATGGTGAGAGGGCAGGAGCTGTGTTTTGGTCATCACTGAATTGCCAGTGCCTAGTACTATGGTGAATTTAGTGTAGGTACTCAGAAAATATTTGTTAAACGGGTTTGGAATACTTATGTGCAGCCTATTATGTACCTACTCAGTAAGTGCTTTACACTTATTATTTCATGTAAGGCTTTACCACAATCCCATGAAGAAGGAGTTTTCCATACTTGCACCGAACAACTCATTTGACAGGTAAATTTAAATAGTCTGCCCAAGGCCAGCCAGCTAACAGGTGTTGGAGGCTGGATCTGAACCCAGGCTGATTCATTTCAAAGTCCACATGCCTGGTCCCTAGGTTGTCCTGGCCCCCAGCAAACAGCAAATAGTTTTCAGAGCCTCTTTTTCTCCTGCTATACGTTCCCCATTTATGGAAACGCTTAAACAAATAGCTGTACAACTGAGAAGAGAAATGGGGGATGTGGTCCATGCATGCTATCTCCCTTCCTGTATTGTTTCAGGGTCAGTGCAGCCCAAGTTTAAGGATGCAAATTCTCAAAAGAATTTCATTATCAAAAAACAAGGAAGGTTATAACTGTCTCAATCTGACCAAGTAACTACAAGTCTGGACCAAACAAATAACGTTCTACTCCAACACAGATTCAAGTGTACAAAGAAATACAATGGAAGTAGAACACTACGCATTAGCCAGTACCGGTCTCTGCTCAGGCAGAAGCAAGAAATTATTATGGAATGAAAGATGAGAGAGAACAGACTAGCACAGAATTTGCACTCTAAGCCAGGATGTTGTTGTTGTTGTTAAGTGCCGTCGAGTTGGTGCCGACCCTCAGCAACCCTGTATAAGGTTTCCAAGGAGCAGCTGGTGAGCTTGAACCGCTGACCTTGCAGTTCAAACGACTTTGCAGTCTGGCGCATTAACCCACAGCGCCACACCAGGACTCCTAAGCCGGGATTTGTTGTTGTTGTTATGTGCCATGGAGTTGGTTCCGACTCATAGCGGCCCTGTACAAGGTTTCCAAGTCTGTATATCTTCATGGGAGCAGAAAGCCTCATCTTTCTCCCACGGAACAGCTGGTAGTTTCGAACAGCTGACCATGAGATTAACAGCCTGATTCGTAACCACTACACTACCAGAGCTCCTTTGGTGGTGGTGGTGGTGGTTAAAGGCACAGAATAGATAAGTAGCTTTAATTTATCTCACCTGAGAAGCCTGAAAATTTCCGGGGGTTGGTATTAGTTACAGAGGTGCCTTTCGCTGGAGATGTCACCTGGCCAGTGGCTGTCAACTTGGTCTGGACAACAGCTTTCTTCTTTGGTGTGCCTGTGGACTTAGAAGACAAATCTGTAGATCACCAAAAGAAAGGGGGGAGAAAACTTTCAGTGAAAGGTCCCAGAGAAAGCTCCCAATGAATCTATCAATCAACTGCTCTTAGACTCTTACTTGGTAAGTTACTTTCACAACACTACTTCAAGGCTGGTAGCTGACCGGCCTTTTTGAGCGGAGTCTGTAAGTGATAGAGTATTGAGACTTAATGGAAGATCTATTACTTTACAGATTGTTGCTATGTGCCGTGGAGTCAGTTCCGACTCATAGTGACCCTGTACAGATAAGGATATTAAAATCATATAGAACTAACTGGATTTGGAAGCATTGGTATAAACTCAAGATTTTGAATATATGCATATATGTAAGCAGTTCGAAACAACCAGCTGTTCCACGGGAGATAGATGAGGCTTTCCACTCCTGTAAAGATTTACAGCCTCGGAAACCCTGTACAGGGTCGCTATGAGTCGGAACCGACTCCACAGCACATAACCAACACCAAAGAGTAAGTGAATCATTTGCTACTAGGAGTCCAGTTCATACATCTATGGGTTCATATAAAAAACTGTGTTTAAGCCTGTCTCTGCAGTCAGTGGATGGCTGCAGACAAATTATCTCTGTAACGCACTTGTCTAAGTCCTGTTAGGGTGCCTTTCAAAATAGGGGATACTTTTTGTGCCATGGGAAAAGATTCTGAGGTCATAACTCATACCAAATTTTTAACAAAATAGAAGTAGACACCTTCCCAAATCATGGGTGCTTTGTGAGAAGTTTATGGGAATGCTGCCCACATAAAACAACAGTTTTTTGATCAACTAAGCACTTAAAGGAAGGTTAGTTAATAAGACCTCAAGGATGAATAATGAGAGGGAAGACCATCAACCTCAATGAATGAAGAAACTGTGGTAGAAATCCAGAACCTGCTAGAAGAAGGTGACAGGTACTGAAGCTGGATTCTCACAAGGTTCAGCTTTTTCAATTTTTAAAAACTTTTTATTGTGAACTGAGTAGAGGTTTACAGACAAGATCATCAGACTTACTTACATTCAATAAATTGTATACTTGCTAACAAATCATACAGAATATCTTGGCCTCAGCATGCTTCCAGCTTGAGGGGTGCCCAAAAGCAGTGCACAAAGATCAGCTAGCTCAGAGAGGTAATCTTTCCATCAGTCTTTTAAGCAAGATAGAAGCTAATGAAGACATTTTTATGGAATAAATCATAACCAGGCATGAGTCTTGGATTTATCAATACAATCTAGAGAGTAAGGTCCAACCAAAATAGTAGCTTCCGAGGTAATCTGTTGGAGAAGTTAAATTCAAGGTAGAAAAGTCAGCTCAGAAGGTTATGGTAACTGTTTTGGGGACAATCACAGAGGCTTATTGCAAAGAAGTTTCAAAAAAACTAAAAGATGCACTGGTGAGAAAAAGGCCAGTGAGCTGTGCTAAGGATTTCGTATCGATTACAATGAATCTGCTCATTCCTTGTGGGTAACGAGGGCTGGCCTACAAGAATTTTATTGGGAAATTTTCTTCCTTCCTCCCTACAGTCCTGATCTTGCCCCTTCAGACTTCTTTTTGCTCCTCAAACTCAAAGAACACTGAAAAGGTGCACGCCTTGAGTCCCTCAAGGATTCTAAAATGCCATTTTGATGTGATGGACATTAAAAAGTAGAGAATTCTGTAGGGAAAGGTTAGAGAGGGGCTAGAAACATCACCTTCAGAAGTGTACAAACCTAGATGGAGGAAAAACAATAGACTCATTAAAATTTTAATTTTTGCTTAATAAAGGTTTCTATGATTTTGTAGCAATACCTTTTGATTTACCCTTGTGTATGAATATGCATGTGTACATACATATATATTTTTGTATGTATAGTCAGAACCAAGTTGACAGCACTTAACAACAACAACAATCTGTCTGTCTCAGTACACATGCATACACATGTTATCTATTCTGCAGCTGTCTGCTATAAAAGCTTAGAAGCAAAGACACCCCAGTGTAATGAGAACACTTAGCATTCAGATTTTGGTCTCTAAAACATTCTCCACTAACAGGAACCAAAGCAGCTCCGAAGAGAAATGGCTGATACTAGGGTGTAGAAGGATGTGGACAAGAGGAGTCTAAGAACATCCTGCTATACAATTAAGCACTTCCAATTACGAATCAGGCTGAAAACCTCAGGGTCAGCAGTTCGAAACTACCAGCTGTTCTGTGGGAGACAGATGAGGATTTCTGCTCCGTAAAGACTTACAGCCTCAGAAACCCTGTACTGGGTCGCTATGAGTCGGAACCGACTCCATGGCACATGACAACAACAATTGCTAATAGAAAAGAAAGAAAAAGAGGAGAACATGTCATAAGAACATTGAAATAAAAATTATTCACAGTAATGAAAAATATGCCATTGGAGAAAATAATCCCCAAGTCCAAATGGGTAACAAATCGATAAATAAAATACAGGTGGTGGGTATTCTACTCTTAGGAGGAACAGGAAAATGTTCCAGATTAAAATAGGCCAAAGAGACATGACGATTAAATGCAACACCAATTGTACTAGAAGGAGAAAAATGCTATAAAAGATAATATTTGATCAACTGACAAAATTGAAATACAGATGGTAGATTATAGAGTATCTTATCAATAATAACTGAGGTTGATAACTATATTGTGGTAATATAAATATATATAAAAGAGTATTAGTGTTCTCCAGCAAAAGACTCTGAAGCTTTTAAAGGTAGGAGCCATGATATATGCAAACTACTCTCAAATACTTGTGGGGGTGGGAGTGTGCGTGGAAAGAGAGAAAGAATGAGTGTGAGTGCAAATGAGAAAAAGTACACCTGTTAACAATGTGTCAAGGGAACCTTTTTCTGCCAAAATCTAAAACATCATTCAGGGGCCAAACAAAATTATTAGCTTAAAAACTAGCCTGCTATATTTGGCCAAACATTTAATGAGCTCACCCCTAATGTGACGGCTAGAACTGCGGTTACCTTGGCAAGGCCAGACCAAATGATGTCACGAGCCTTATATGGCCCGAGTGGCACTGTGGGGTAATGTGCCAGACTGCAAAGCCACTTGAACTGCAAGGTCGGCAGTTCAAGTTCACCAGCTGCTCTTTGGAAACCCTAGACAGGGTCGCTATGGGTCAGAACTGATTCGATGGCACTTAACAAAAACAACATATAACCCACAGGCTAGACGGTCCCCACCCTTGAAATAGGTAGCTCTGGGCAAAGGGATTCTGATTGTTCTTTATATTATTTTTATTGTTGCAACTTTTATGTACATTTGAAATTATTTCCAAATAAAAAGTTATGAAAAAGAAAAAAACAAACAAACTGTACTCTATTCACCACACCCCATTTTCTCTTCGCACCAATAAAATGGAAGAGCAGTGTTCTGCACCATACCTGAAATGTGCTGTGTTATCTGTTCTTTCTCATTGTCTTCTAACTCTTCCCAACCTTCCAGCTCTGTGAGGTCCTCGATCTTCTTTGTGGTGGCCCGGGCCCGCTCCAGTTTCTCAAACATGCATTTAATGTGGTACCACTCTTTCATATCACCCCCAGACTCTGAAAACGGATTGGGTACCACTTTGCCAATTCGGCAAACACCCTTCACAATCTTTTCCTTGCATTTTTTGCAGCCAGCAGTGCCACGTTTAGCATAGTCCACACAGAACCGCTGTTCGGCCATCTCACTGGAGGCACTGCAGAGTCCCACATGCGACCCTGGTGAGAAAACAAGGCAGGTGGCACGTGGTCTTAGACTGTCGCTCTGGAACGGCAGAACAGGCTTTTTCCTCAGGAGGAGGCAGCACCCATGAAGTAGATCTGTCTGTGAACACTGGCTGAACAGTTGGACGTCAGGCCGGTGGTGTCGCTCTGGGAATAGGCACAGTTCTTTTTGGCAGAGTACACGGAGGATTTGTGGGAAGCGGGTCTTGGAAGCCAAAGTCATATAGCTGCATGAAAGGGCGAGAGACAGAGAATGACAGATAAATTAGAAGCTAGGTAGGCTTCCTACTTCTTCAAAAACGTCAAGTTGCCATCAGCCATCCTTTATACTCATGATAATGGCTGTTCATGAGAATTTTAATGTAAACAATTATGTTGAATTGTTTACATTAAAAACCTCCTCAGCACAAGACCATAGCTGGAATCCTGAACCGCATCCAGAATCTTCTGACGGGAAATTTCCACTTGAAATGACAAGCAGACTAGTCTGGAGCGGCCAGAAGATACTTCCTGAAAGAAAGACTGACAGGAAAATACAAAACAATATAGGCAGACTGACTGATTACTACAAGAACAAACAAGTGGCTCACCCGGGAAACATCAAGGCAAGTTGTGGGGGTCCCCCTTCTAAGACTAAGACTCAATTGGAATACACGCTCTGATTGGTGACCACGTTCGTCGCCGATAAGGGGAAGTGAGGGAAAAGCAGCAATGAAGCTGCGAGCTGAGCACTACAATGCTCAACAGACTCCTGTGAACCTGGATGGAGACCTGGTTGACCAGCAGTGTGGCAAGACCTGGGGACTCTAGGACCCAGAGTCAGTGACATAGCTATGGAGGACTGGAGAGGAGAGTGTCCAGCTGATAAGAAGAGAGGGCATATCTATAAGAACACCCACACTTGCAGATAATACCCACTTGACCTGGCTTCAATGACTGGATGATCAGAGCTCAACCAGAAGAGGAAAAAAAGAGTAATCTGATAAAATTTGATGAACTTGACACAAACTTATAGAAGCAGTAGCTCAACAGAGGGAACAAATCTTCACAGTGAGGATCATTCCCACCCCCTCCACACACAGAGTAGACAGGGATGGGCAACTTGGACATTGGCTACCCAGAATGGGGGGGGGGGAGGGGGCTACAGAGGCAAGACGTGACTGGCTTACAAGCTTTCAAGAGGGAACCTACATCCAGAGGGTGTGGAGCAAGGTAGAATCTCCACTGAATAGTATCCACTCTGTATAGTCGGGGCTGATGAAAGGAGATGTGGATGGGTCTCTTGTGGCACAACAGTGAATAACTGTTATCAGGACTGAATGTGACGGTTGGAAATGTAAAGGTAGATGTTTTGTAGCAAGGAGGGGAGTGGTTAACTTTGCAGTCTAGGAGCGGAGGACCCTGGGACCATCAAGGGAGAAGAGTGGAGAACAGAACCCTACCCAGAGAAGCAGTGATGCCAAGGATGGAGGCAGAGACGATGACGTGGGAGATGGAGCAGCTGGGGACTCTGGACCCGGAGAGGAAGAGGGGCTGTGTGCGGATGACCAGGGGGCAGGCTTGCAAGGTATACCCTTTGGTTGGTGGATGATACATGGAGGGGATTGTAACCATGGCAAGGAAACAATATACTACAGGATCAATGTGAAGCTGATGTCCTCCCATGTAAACTATCACATAATTCACAATAAAGCATTAAAAATAAATAAATAAATTGACCTTAGGGGGAAAAAAACCTCCTTGGAAAACGAAGCCTTCTGTATAAATTTATGAATCAGCCCTATTTTGAGAGGCAACTAGCAGAGCCTGGAATCAGACTGCCTGGGTTCAAATCTGAACTTCTCATTGTTGTGTTGTTGTATTAAGTGTCAATGAGTTAGCTCTAACTCACAGCAACTCTGTATAGGGTTTCTGAGGAGGAGCTGATGGGTTTGAACCACCGACCCTGAAGTTAGCAGTCCAGGGCTTATCCTACAATGCTACATCAGAACTCCTTATTGTTGTTGTTAAGTGCCATAGTCAGTTCTGACTTATAATGACCCTATATACAGCTTTCGAGGAGTGGGTGATAGGTTTGAACCTCTGATTTTGAGGGTCAAACAACTTTGTGGTCCAGTGCTTTTTCCTACAGCACCAAACCACAACTTCAGGACCCCTTATTTAGATATCCCTTATTAGCTGTGAGTCAGAACCTACGTGACAGCACTTAAAAATAACAATTAACTGTGTATCTTGGTAGGTAACTTAACCTTAGTTTTTGTTCCTCAGTGTTCACATTTCTAAAGCATGGGTAGTAACAGTACCAAGGAGTTCTCAAGGGACTGAATCCTTAGAACAGAGTTGGGCACACAGCAAGGTCTCAATGAACTGCAGACCTTATGGTTCAAGTGTTTCTCATATGGAGCACACTACTTTAGAGTGAAACTATTATAGCATTATAATTAATCTAAGTTTCAGTTTACTGAAGGACAACATGGTGCAGAGGAAAGCACATGAGCTTTGGAATCATGGAGTGTGGGAGGTCAAGTCTGATCTTTGGAGTTTCCCAGTTGCCATAGAATTGACTCATGGCCACCCCACTATCAGAAAACCGTATCCATAAGGTTTTCAATGGCGCATTATTCAGAAATGGATCGCCACGTCTTTCTTACTGCGTACCTCTGGGTGGACTCACCTGCTAACCTTTCAGTTATTAGACTAACTCAAGCGTAAAACGTTTGATGCATTACATGTATGCACCACCTAGGACTCCCAAGACGGATCATCACTAAACTTCTTTGAGTCTAGGTTTTCTTATTTTTAAAATAGTATAGAGTATATCTACTTTACAGGGTGCTTGTGAGAATTAAAGTGGGGGTTTCTGAACACCCTGAAGATATAACTTTCATGAGATCCACAAAGGACCCCCAAACTTAAAGAACCAAATGTGTGAAAGTATGGCAAACGCGTTAATAGGGGCTCAGGACATGCTAGGTTTGGGTCTCTCTCTTTGTACACCGATCTATGAAGTCATCACCAGGTCCCGGGTGGGACTAGAGGCCGGCGTGGTCAGCAGCCTGTTCCCAGCAGGGCAGGTGGCTCAGGAGGCCCTGGGCCACGAGGAGGCACAATGCTGCTTCTGCCAGGGAACCTGTCGTCCCACACCTCTCTCCCAAACAGCCGCAGCTCAGCATTTCATCAAAGGAACCTGAGACAGAACCGCTGGGACCTGAACATAGCACTGGCTGGGCCGGTGAGCTCCACCGAGGTGGAAGCAGAACCGCGGCACCAGCTTTTCTTGGGGGCTGGCCCGCGGCGCGCCCAGAGTGGATGGGTCTACTGTCCGGGGTGCGGGACCCGTCGGCCTATCCCCAGCACCTCCGAGTCTCTAGAGGCCACCCCAGGGGTGCCAGTGAGCCAGGGGTTGGGGTCGGGCATGCTCTCGCACCGGACCTGGAGAGGTGGGGGGCGGAGCGAGAACGAAGCCCAAATTCCCCCCCGGAGCGCACCAACTTCACCGCATAAGTATGCAGAGGGGACTGTGGTCGGAGGAGCCCCTTGAGAAAGTCCCTAAAGAAAACAGCCCGGGAGGGACGAAGGGAGTTATCTCCCCTCGCGCGGATACTGTGGGAAGGGTCCCAGGAAGCCGTAAAGCTCCCCTATGCGTTCCCGGGGGGCCGCCACGTCACGGAGGGTGTGCCCCGGGGCTCCGCAGGCGGGCGGGGGAGCGGCCGAAGGGGCTGAAACATGGCCCCGCCGAGGTTCGGGCCCTGGCCCGCTTCCATCCCCAGTGCCGGGCCCGCTGCGCCGCCCCTCACCTGCCTTCCCGGCTCCGGCGCACACCATAGGCCTCAGGATCAGGGGCCCACAGGCCGCGGGTAGCCCACGACGGTTGTAGCGCCTGTCTCTTTAAATCCGGGTCCTCGAGCTGGCGACAGTGCGCAGACGCAAAAATGAAGGCCCAAATTACGTAAACTGTCTCCGCCCCCCCGCCTATCACGTAGGCAGTGGTCAGATTGTGCCACGTGTGGCCGGGGTCTTTGGTGCCTTGGTTTGGGGGTGGGGTGGGATGTCTCTTATCACGGCCGGGGTTGAGGGAAGGTAGTTGTGCCCGGAGCGCATCCTAGCCTGAACTTCTGAGGATTTCCCCGACTTTCTTACCTCTAGAGATTAGCTAGCTCAATTTAAAGAACTGTGAAACTACACGATAATGATTTTTGAGAAAGTAAAGATCATTACAATCTATTTCTCTGTATTCTCTCTGCCTTATGACCTCCACAGTGCCTAGCATGTAAATATCCAATAAATAGTGAATTAAAAAGAGGACTATATATGGGTATATGAAATTGTGTAAAGGAGAGATGGAAAAATAATCCCTTACATTATATAGATTTTTTTTAAAGAAAATAACCTTATTCTAATTAACATCACAACAGATATTTTAAGGGGGCCACACAAACATTTGCCCAGCCCCAAACTTGACATCTCAATACAATAAGAACACCTTCTTGGTGATTCAGAAGCAAGGAAGCTATTAATGATGGAGAAGAGCTGTAACTGGGACTTGTACGCTTTATACTGTCACTATCACTTAAGTGGTTACGAATCAGGCTGCTCACCTCACGGTCTGTAGTTCGAAACTACCAGCTGTTCCGCGGGAGAAAGAGGAGGCTTTCTGCTCCCTTAAAGATTTACAGCCTCGGAAACCCTGTACAAGGTCACTATGAGTCAGAACCGACTCCATGGTACTTAACAACATCACTTAAAAATTCACACAAAACTAACTTGGTCCTGAGAGCTGATTTTCCATTTCTTCCGTTTGAGCTTCTTGATACCAACAATCCATTTGCAAATCTGTACTGCTTCAGTTCTTTGCTGAGCCCTCCTAGAGTGTGAGGATGTCCTGGTACTGGGCACACTCCAAAAAGGCAGTTTAATCTCGAGGGCTGAACTGCTGCTGCTTCTTGGGTTTGGCACCCTGCCCTCGCCCGCCCATTCAGTTAGCAGCTGAGCGCTTAACATCTGCACTACCAAGGTCCCCTATGAGCGATTAGTAAGTCTACTTTTAATAAAAGGTTAGTAAGATCAGAGTAGGTCAGTGAACTTGTTCAGGGTTTGGGAATGGCAAACAGTAGGGCATTGTTAAGTAAGCAAGGGCCCTATCCTGGCAAGAATTGTGTGCTGTGCAATAAAGCGTTTGTAGGCCTTGGAGCCAGGAAGGAGTTTATGGAATAGGAATTGCTGTTGAAGCTCAGTAGGGGAGAGGATGAAGCATGTTATTGTTGTTGTTAAGTGCCTTTGACTGGGTTCGGACTCATAGGGACCCTGTATAAGGTTTCCAAGGAGCAGCTGATGGGTTTGAACCATCAACCTTTCAGTTAGCAGTCCAGTGCTTATCCTACAGCGCCACACCAGGACTCCTACAGGCTGAAGCATGAGGACCAATTAACAAGCTCTTATAGTGACCTATGTGAAAAATGAAAGTGGCCTGAACAAAGCAGGATAGAGTGGAAGATGCGTTTTTTGAGAAACATTTAGATTTCAAATTGTCTTCTAGGTATGACTTGAGTGAGCAAGTAGATAATAGATCATCAACTGAAACAGAACATGTGGGGAAAGAGGGAGTATTTGAGGGAGGAGGATGAGCTCTGTTTTGGATATTTTAAGCTTGGTTGATTGAGGCCAATTGTTTGAAGTGGGGTAAAGCCTCTTCATCTTTTCTCTAACGTGCTACAGCGTGAACATGGATTTTGGAATTGAAAAGTCTTAACTCTGTTAGTTGAGTAATCCTGAATGTACCTGGATCACTGAGTCCTAGTACATTGTTTTGAAAATCTTCCTGAATGCAGCTGTCTTTTCCCCTACCCATATGCTGTCCAATGTTGTCATTGCTAGGCATATTTGGCTGCTGAGCATTTGCAATGAGGCTGTTCTGAATCGAGAGGTATTGTAAGTATAAAATATGCACCAATTTTGAAGAGTTGGTAGTTAATAACAAGGACTTTGGCTATGGTTCTATTTTTGAGTGAGTTGTCCATTATGTTAATGATGCAGGATTAGGGTGGGTTGCAGCTTGAATTGCTGCCTTATTAGAGGATGTGACTCAGATTGATGATATAGTGATTTCATTTTGAAAGATGACATTTTAGATATGTTGGGTTAAATAAAATATTAAGATTAATTACACCTGTGTATTGTACTTAAAGGAGTCCTGGTATGGTGCTGTGGACTAATGTGTCAGACTGCAAAGTCATTTGAACTGCAAGGTCAGTGGTTGAAGCTCACCAGCTGCTCCTTGGAAATCCTATATAAGGTTGCTATGGGTTGGAATCTACTCGACGGAACTTAACATTGTACTTAAAAAATGGCTAATAGAATACATAAGATGACATTTGTGACTTGCATTCTATTTCTACAGCATTGCCCTAGTCTTCACACCAGTTTGTGGTGGGTGGCACCTGTGTCTTATACACCTTTTTATCCCCGTTGCCATGGCTGAGAACAGCGCCTGGCACATATGGTCGGCACTCAGTAAATATTGATAAATAAATGACTGAAACCCATGGTATCAATAAATACTTATGAATGGAATGAATGAAACTCTGTAGGTGGTAAGATCCCACAGGATACCCATTATATTTCTTTGGCAAGGTAAACTTTCTTTTTAAATGTTTTATTGTGAACTATGTGATAGTTTACATGGGAGAACATTAGTTTTACATTCATCCTATTATATACTGTTTCACTGCCATGGTTACAATCCCCTCCATGCATCATCAGCCAACCACAGGGTATACACTACAAGCCTGACCCAACTTGCCCCCTGGTCCTCAGCACACAGACCCTCTCTCTCTCTCTGGATCTAAAGTCTCCAGCTGCTCCATCGCTCCACGTCATCATCTCTGCCTCCATCTCAGGCATCACTGTTTCTCTGGGTAGGGTCCTGCTCTCTGCTTTTCTCCCTTCATGGTCCCAGGGACCTCCACTCCTAGACTGCAGCAAGGTAAACTCTTGATGTAACTTTGCAAAGACTCTTAGGTTCTAAATGTTTGTCTGGCTCCATTAGAACCCCAAGGGACCCCTAATGATCTGTGTAGCTCTGATTCAGGGCCCCCTCGGTGAAATGGAACTAGTTGTAAGAACTAGAAATTGCAGTTCCTTAATGAAGTGGGAGCTGCTACCAAGAAGAATGAGGTAATGGCATGTGGTAAGAAACATAGGACTTTCGAGTCACAGATTGAGGGATGAATTGTGTTCCACCACTATGTAACCTTGGTCTATTAATTCCTCTGGATCTCAGTTTTTATGGTGAAATGGTGTTACGATTACCTCTTAAGAGTGTGTGTGATGTTTAAAAGAAATGACTGATGACTAACTTGCATACTGTGTGGCACTTAGAACTGTTTTAGAGAAGGTACATTCCCCACACCGCCCAGTCTGAATACACATTCATATCACTGTAGAGCTTAGTCATTCAATACTAATTGAACATCAGGCAGTCTGGTTATTTATTGAGTGCTTATTGTGTGACAGGCAGTATTCCAGGAGCTGGGATAAAGTAGTGAAACAAAACAGAAAGAAATCTCTGCCCTTCTGACCTACCAGGTTAGTGTGGGAGACAGAAAATAGACTGAAAAGTACTTTGTGGACTTCCATCTCACCAGGTCTTCTCACAAAATTGTCAGGATGCAGAGATTCCTGGTTAAAAAACAAGCAAAATAGTCCTATTCCCCAATGGGTTCAAATGAAAACAGGGAACAAAATCAGGTCTAACTCCCCAGGGAAGACCACAGAGAACAAGCTGGGTCTGTAAGAAGTCGCATATGGATTTATGCTCTACCAAGTTCACTAGCACCTCACCAGACCAAGCTGAAACTGTCACCCGTCTCAGAACAATTGGACATGTTATATTGCCAAAGCTGTGGTTTCTTCCTTTGTTTTTATGTTCCCGCATTAGTAGGTTGGTTTAGTAATAAATACGTAAGAGCTTTTGTGTGTTGAAAAAAATTGCACAGTATAGAAGGTGATGATGAGTGCTGTGGAGAAAAAGAAAGCAAAGGAGAGGAAGAGAGGTGCAGGAAAGGTGCGAGGTGATGGTCAGGAAGGTGCCACCCATAAAGTGACAACTGAGTCAAGGCTTGAAGGAATGTGGAGATCTCAGGTGGAGGGAATATCCAAGTCCAATGGCTGGAATGTGCCTGGCAGGTGGGAGAATAGTAAGAGAACTCTGTGGCTAAATTAGGAGTTAAAAATGAGAAGAGTAGATGATGAAGCCAGTAAGGTAGCAGGGAGACTGATTTTGTAGGGCCTTGTAAACTCATTGTCAAGATTTTTGTCTTATATTCCAGGCAAAAATTATTTTCTGCTCAATAAAATTCACACGAGAAGTCAGTGAATTGTACTGAGTAGAAGAGTTGATCTGACGTAGGTTTTAGCGGGACCACTCTGGCTACTGAGTGGAAAAATTGGGAAATGACTTAGGTGGCTACTATCATAACCCAGGGGAGAAATGAGGATAGCTTGGGAGGTGAAATGAAGTGAATTCATTACTTACATGGGTCTTCTAGCCGTAGTCCTCCATTTTATGATGGAGGATAAGCACTGGACTGTTAACTGAAAGGTGGGCAGTTCAAACCAACCAGCTGCTCCTCAGAAACTCTATACAGAGTCAAAACTGACTCGATGGCATTTAATGACAACAAGGATTTGGCTATGGTCCTATTTTGGAGTGAGTTGTCTGTTAACGTTAATGAGGCAAGATTAGGGTATCTTGAGTTGCTGCCTTACTAGAGGTTGACACAAGTCGCCACCCTTAGTTTCTTGGCGTGTGGTCTACATTCATTTTATAGGCATACTCTGGCAAAGTTTGCTGACTTGCTCTGGACCCTGCATCTATCTCATCTGACCTTTGGTTCTCGGGACATGAACCACTGGCCT